TCTTGAACTAATTCAGTTTCCTCCTTGTTGACATTAAAAGTCTTATGTCCATCTGCAGCTGTTGTCATTATCTTTGTTTTCCTGATGTTAAAACTCAATCCTACTTTTTTCACTTTCATCCTTGATTTTCCAGATTTTGATTTTTCCAAGTCTTCCTTATTTTCACAATATTGTATCACCTACCTACCTCAAATCATTTATGGTTCTTCCCCTAATCTTCACTCCAACATCAAGACAGTTCTGCAGGATCTAATTTCTGTAGGATCACTCCAGCACATACAAAAAGGTTGAACAAAAAAGGTGATAAAATACATCCCCAACTCCCTTACTGATCCTGAACCAGTTTGGGTCACCATCAAACCTTCTCACTGTTGTCTCCTGATCAGTGTAGAGTGACTTAATGAGTCTGTTCAGGTGAGTTTGAACACCAAGATCATGCAAAGCTGCCCATAGCTTATTGTATTCTATACAGACAAATGCTTTTCTGTAATCAATAAAAACATATAAGGATTCTTTTGATATTTGATAATCCATCTAATATCAAATGCCATGCCCCTTTCTAAAGCCAGTTTATTCATTGGGTAACTTTGATAGATGATATTCTATAGCCCCAGTTTAACTATTTTTAATGGAATTTTGCTTACATGAAAAATCAATGCAATCGTGCGATAGTTGGAGCAGTCTTTGGCATTGCCTTTCTTCACTAATAGATAAAAACAGATCTTTTCCAGTCCTGAGGCCATTGACATGTAATCCATATCTCTTCACACAGGGCAGTGATGATGTTAACTGGCACTGGTCTTAGTAATTCTGCAGGTATTCCATCAATACCTGGGGCTTTCCAGTTTGGCAATTTCTCCATGGCCCATTCTACTTCTCCTTTCAAGATGTTTAGTTCTTTGTTAATTGGGCTTTCAACATTGTCATCTTGATGGTATGTCAAACTGCTACAGAGTCCTCTGTATATTCTTTCCATCTGTTCTTGGTCTCCTGCTGGTCACTTAATACATTCTTGTTGTGGTTTTTAACAGTTCTTTGCCATGCTGAAAAGCTGGATCTCATCATTTTCACTACAGCAAACATGACCTTAGTATATCCCTTCCTATTAGGTTCTTCCAGACTGTTGACACTGCTCCTCTCACTGCCTATTTTTGCCTTTCCTGGTGTCATGTTGGAAAATTGCATTCAGCTTTCTAACTTCATCCTTATTACCTTTGGCTTTGGCCACCCTTTGCTGATTGGCTGTTTTGATGTCAGATAGCCACTTGTTTGTTCTCTTTGCTTTTTGGCATGACACATGCTTTCCAGCATGTTTCCATGATATTACCTTAGATCTCTTACCACTGTTCATATGGATCTTTCCCTTCTAAATTCATGAATGAATAAATATGAATCATATTTGAAGAATTGGGGAGAGACAATTTGTGAGTCTAGGATTCAGTTCACTCTAAGAGGCTCCTCACCAGCCTTCCTAAACCAGGCATGAACCACCCTTAAGCATTTTCATGTCTTTCTTCAAAAGGCTTAAAATGGTGAGAAATCAAATTACCATCTTGTGTCTCCACTGTAGACTGCAATTAACTGTAGCTCGACATAACATGCCATTAGCCACCTTCTGCTTCACTTCTTGATGAGATGAATTGACACTTGCAAGAGGCATGGAACTAACATGCTAGTGGCAGGCAGCAAGCTGGCGAAGGCCAATATAAATGTAGAAGAGAAAAAGGGAGTGCAGTCATCAGATTTTACAAGCATTAGTATCTCAAACAAGGGCATTTAGTCTTTGGCCTCAGTATAGACTATACTGCCCTTCAGCTAAATGCAAAATTGCAGGTGACAGGGTAGGAATTGTCCTACTACAGCAACATATGGCCAAGATGTGTCTTAAACCACACTGCCAACCTATCTGCTGTGCTTCCCTATGGATGGTTATAACTTATTCTCCTGACAATGAACCTCAGCATTGTCGTCTTACAAAAGAAAGCACACCGTAGCCAACTTTGCATCGCCTTAGAAGGACAGAGAGAGTGATGTTTTTAATGGGCTTCTCTTTAATAGGCTTCAGGCTTGCCAATTAATTACCAGTCAGCCAAGCAGCTGCTGAAGAACGGCCTTTATTACCTCTTCCCCAGTGCTGGGTTAATCTCTTTTCAAGTGAGCAGCTACATTATCCAAGCCAGTGGCTTCGTTCTCATTCTCACATCAATGGGTAATTAAATTGTGGTCTGCAGGGCGCCAGCTGGTCACCTTGCCCTCTCAGTAACTCTTGCTAACCCTGCTGTTGGCATTGTTGGGGGAAGAGTGCCCTCCAATCCATCAGACTGGAATTGCTAATATAGTTTTCTCAGGAAGACACAGCCAGTTCTAGAAAGAGGCTGAAGGGTTAAACAAATGGAACCATCATAAAAACACTAGCCACTAGCCATCATTTTGTAAGCAAGCAGGTATTTGTTAAGTTCCTTTTCTCATGTTTTATTTCATCTCTCTCTCTCTCTCTCTCTCTCCCTCCCTCCCCCCCCTCTCTCTGAGACACCCAATGACTGCCTGGATGAGGCCCTGCCACTTTCTTGGTGAGGTTTTTCAGAAGTTGGCTTGCTCTTGTCCTAGGACTGAGATAGTATGACTAGGCCAAGGATACTGAGCGGGCTTTGTGTCTAAGGCATGAGTAGAACTCAATCTCTTGGTTTCTAGTCTAGCTGTTTAACCACTACATCAAACTGGCTCTCAATTTGGCTGCTCTTTTAATTTTTATATAAGGCATACTCTAAAGAGCTTCTATTTTGCAATAGGATTTTATATCTAGTGCTAAAGAGCTTAATTAACTGGTTGGTTGTGTAAACCTCAATTGGCTGAATTTGTACCATAGATTAAGCTACAAATCAGTTTCCAAACTACAGTAATTGGGTTTGCCTAATGCACAGCTAAACCCAACCTAAACCATATAATGGCTTAAAGTGATGATTACCGGATCAATATAAGAAGGGATTGTAAAAAGAAGCAATGCTGATTATGAAAGCCTTCACAGAGTTCCATAATTACTATATAAGTGATGAATGACAGTTTAAATGACTTCCTCCAAAGACACTGACTGGATCCATATACTATGTTAAGTCTTAATATGCTTGGTTTGGCTTGGTGTGACATGTGAACCTACCATTAGAACATAGAGTTGTATGAACCAAATCAGAGCTTGTATATACAAATCTTTTCAGAAGGGGAAAAAGAATACCTAAATAGTCATGCAATGCATAAACCCAGTATGAAATTTGGAAAAAACTCCTCCATCAGATCAAGTTGCTCCTAGTTGTGAACATTTTCCAATTTAGCACCATAAGAAATAAATGCATTAATAGTTTTAACTCTGAGAATATTGACAACTTCCAAGAAACTTGGGAAAAAAATAAGATCTCTGCCTTTTCAAAAGTTGAGAGGTGAAGAATGACTATAAATTTTGGAACTATCTGTGCAAATTCATACAAAGTTGTGGGTTAAATCAGCATAAACTTAATATTTAGTAGTAAGCAATTTGCATATAAATGCTCTATATTTATTTGACAAGTCATTCAAGGGATGTGAATGACATACAAGAGCCACACTGAAATCTTTTTCTTAAAACCCTTTTCTGAATTATATTTGCATTTATTTGTTGCTAGAATGCTATAAAGTTTGGTCATTTGTGTAAGCCAAATAATTATATCTGGATCATCTGAACATATGGATCCTTACACCACCAATGAGATTCCTTCTTTATATTTACAATGATAATTGTTTTTTGCAATAAGGACACTAGATCTTTAGGGGTATAATGCTAATAGAGATATTAGTGAAAGACCATGCCCAATAACAACCCAAAATACGCTCAAATATCTCTCTCTGTGGATGTATATATGAAATCTGGGCATTTTTCAGGAAATAAATGCTACTTTGAGAAAAGATTTCTATGCCACATTCAAACCTGTTTGTGTGTGGTAAAAATAAAGGCATCCTCAAGCAGAACTCAACTCCTGGTCAGCAATAATATTAAAATATTTCATATTTGCCCTTTTTTCAGGATGTTTATTTGCAGCCCAGCCTACCTGTTTTTTTTTTTTTTTAGTGATCTCCCTTCTAATGTCTTGACTAAGCCCATCTGTGACTTGCATAAGTTGAAAATTTCTCCGAAATGACCTTGTATCAGAACAAACCATAGCCTATAGTTGAATGGATGGTACCAAAGTTTCTCGTGATTGACTAACATGCAGTCTGTAGCTGTCTTGTTTTTTTTTTAAAAAAAAAAATTGCAGCTAATCTTGGGGGATCCTTAGCAATGTAAATTTTTGATTGCTGGGAAAAAAGTGGATTTGAGGTAGTGCTTTTTTGCCTAGAAAATGACATTGGAAACAATGTAGATTGCATCCTTCAGTGAACTACTTTATGCAGTTCCTTGTGGAAGCTCCGCCAGTTACATATATAGCTACAACTATCTTGGTTTGTATTAGAATCAAACCATATCATTTTGTTCAAAACAAGGAAGCTGCTCTGATAGCGTCTTTAAAGGAAACACGGAAGGGCTATGAATTAGGCTACCAAATGAACTTCTGAACTTCAAATTTCTTGACAAGCTTCTGCTCTAGAAATCAGCTATCATGAACAGAAAGATGTAAACTAGTTGGATTTGGAATTCTGGGAGTTGAAGTCCCCAGATCTTAAAGTTGCCAAATTTAAAAAATACTGGTGTAATTAATAGTTGCTCTGCCTGTTTTAATATCTTCAATGGTACACATTAGGCTTATGAGAATGTTTATTCATCTTTTGGATTAAATCAGGTCACCAAGTTTCAAAGCATCCACATGATGGCCTGAAGATCCTTTTCCATGATTAAACTATTTTGCTTCTTCAAATAGGCAGAAGTTTACGATCCTTCCTGGAAAAAAAACACAACTCATTTTATGATTGAACAGCTTGTTATGAGACGGTTAGTTCAAAAGGTGAAAGAACCATAAAACCATTCAAATTGCAGTTTGATTCTTTATTAAAAGGACCCAATGTGCCAGTTCAATGCTTTGTAAACCAGGCTTGGAAAACAATGTGCAAATAAAGGCATGGGGTGAGGTGGAGGGAATATAATGAAGACAGCTATAGCCAAGGAAAGAAGATAACCCAACAAAAGTGGAATGGTCACCCTTTTTCTCTTTCCCCCTTTCCCCAATTATTCCTGGACTTCTTGCTCTGGCCCAAAACTCTATTAGAAAAAAAAAAATATGGCCGCTGCAGATCTTGAGACTCAATAGGCACTCTGTGTGTATGTGTGTGTGTGTGTTTGTGTTTCTCTCTGTGTGTATGTATATATATATATACTCTATTAGATGCTTAGAAACAAAAATAACTTTTATCTGACCCTTGCACTAAAATATTTTTTTTTTAAAGCAAAAAAGGGAGAACTGTAACTTTCAATGTATTTTGTCCCTCGTTCAGTTCCACTCCCTCTCCTCATCCTAATATTTGTGGGCTGTGAATATTTTTTTAAAAAATCCCTTAAAAGAATATGGGGAGAAACTTTCCAGTTCCATGGACCTGTAAGAGAGCTTTACTTTTGAAACCAGAGGGGCAAACACTGCAATGAAGCCATAGAACAACTCCCTGAAGTGATCCAATGCAAAGAGGGCTCTGCAGAATTGAGTTTTTAGCGCATGTATATCTCGTACCTGATATAGCCCCTGCCTGTATTTTGTGCCTTCAAATTGCATTTGATTTGGATCAGGTTTTCTCCCTTTCCTTCTTTCCTCCTTGCCCAGTGAAGTGAATGGAGGGGGGAAAAGGATCTGAGAAGACATGAGGGTGTGGAGACACCATCCAACCATGTGGGGTGGGGTGGGGGTAAATGTCTTGAGGCTTGGTTGGATGCAGATGCATACTTCTCCCACAATACGAGAGGAAGACCACTATCAGTAGAGGAGATATACCAAGAGCACCGGTTGCCCAGGGACAGTATCACAGTTCTTCTGAATGCTGCAATGTTTTCTCCAACCATTCTCAAATGTACTCTCTCCCGTTGTCGCACAAAATGCACAGAAACAAAAATGATACAGTACAGAGTCTAGTCAGCACCGTTGAGCTCACCTAAATTCTGCATAGCCTCTAGCTGTGTGAATGGAAGAAGGTGGCCTGAGTGTGGTTGCTGCTCCTCCCACTTAACTCCCTCCGGTTCTTTCAAGGTAGCATCAGTCCGGGAAGCCTTTCAAAGTTGTCCTGGCTCCCTGCAACTGTTGCCGTGGCATGGCGTGGCCATGGTGAGTCTCTGCAGTCCTCCATTTCTTATTGGCCAGCTGCTAGCCACCAGGAGCGTATTCACACTGACAAATCCTTTGAGCTTCACCCTTGCATCTAGCATATAGAGCATTGACTGTAGCAATTCAACTGGCTCCTATTTACAGCTCGCAGAGCCCTAACCCGTTCCCCTCCGAGGAAAGCTTTGGTTGGAGGACAAAACAAACAAACAAATCAAACCCCAATAAACTATTCTGAGAAACATCAACTTACATTCCCCCCCACCTCTTTCTAGAAAACTGATCTGCAGGGAGGTGTGACTATAATACCAAATGTCCTCTTAGCTTCGAGGCTCCCAGTTTTACCCTGTTGCCTTCCACCCTTCTTTCAACAAGAGGCCTGAAAACAAGCTTATCTCCTATTTTGCTCCAGATGTTCATCTGCAGACAGATGAATTCCTTTGAGGAGCACTGTGCAATATTAGAAACAGGAGCCGTCACTGAATTCAAACTCGGTTATGCCTGATTGTCTCCAACAACATCACATTACTTCTGAAAAGTAACACACCTGGACCCAAAAGTCATGGTTGTTATTAAATCCATCCTTTTTTGTTGTTACCCCTTTTTCTTCTTCTTTCTTTCTTTCTTTTAGACCCATCAAACAAAGGAAGAGAACCCAGCGATAGGGGCTCTGGACCCAGGGGCAAGGCTACTGGGTGGTCGGTAGAGAGTGCTCTGCTGACTAGGTGGATTGACTGGAGTTTGTGGGGTTGGAGTCCTACTGGGTTTGGGTCGGAAGAGACTGCCTTGTTGGGTACTGGTGCTGTTGGACATAGGGCAATGGTCAGGATCTCCAGAGTCACTTTCTGTATAACTGTAGGCTTGAGCCCGAGAGATGCCCTTCTGCTGGCGCCTCCATGAGTTGTAGTAAGTTGGGTCGCTGATGTAATGGTTGACAAAAGAATGGGCTTTCTGATGGTTCTGATCCACTTCGTACTCACTATCACTTCCCTGTGGAGGGAGATGGAAAAAAAAATGGTCAGAGCAAGGGTGTCAAATTGCATTGTGGGCTGTATCGTGACTATTCCGTGAGGTACTCTGAGTCTGAGTCCAATATCAGGAGCTGGAGTGGGCGTGGCCTAGGCGGGCCATATGTGGCCCATGGGCCCCATGTTTGACATCCCTGGGATAGAGAAGCTAATCACCTTCTGGGTAGAAAGAAAATCAATGACTGAGCCAAGGCCTGCATCTGCTCTTTAGGCAGAACAAAGTCACACTTGGTATGATGTCAAATGACCCCGCCACAGGCTAAAGGCAATATAAAACTTTTTATCACACATCAATCAGTCTGTGAACTCAGATAAATTATGTGACATTTCTCTAGATATTTTTAAAAAACAACCTGGAAAGTTAGAAGTAACAACATAGAACATTTCCACAATATTATGCCATCTATGGATTCTTTTTTCTAGACAAATATGCACTATATACTACGCTACACTACATCACAGTAACTTTGTTGGGCCTTTCATACTTTTTTATTACCTTGCCTATAATTGGCCTTTTATACTTTTCTATAATTGTATTCTTAAATTATTAGCCATTTGGGGAATATTTTATATCGAATACATACTATTTATTTTTTAAAATATATTTATAATTATAGATGGACTCTTGGATAGCTTGTAAGGAACAGTTTACTTTTCATTATTAATATGGAAACCCTTTCATTCTCACATCGCACTCCAATTTTCTTTTAAAGAACAACAACTCCGTGAGGCAGGTTAGACTGAGTGTGACTGGCCCAAAGACACCTAGTAACTTTCCATTACTGAGTAGAATCTGGATCTACCTGCTCCTAATCCAACCCCTTTGCCCTACAGTGCACTTTTAGCATTGAACATTTCAGAAAACTGGAATAATTTGGCTATTAAAATGGTAATTTGGAAGGCTGTACTCTAGTAGTATGCTGCATGCAGCTGCCAAAACAAAGCCATTGCAGCCCTAGGCTGCATTAACAGAAGGATAGAATCAATCTGTCCAATCACACTTGGCCAATAAAGAATTCTATTCTATTCTATTCTATTCTATTCTATTCTATTCTATTCTATTCTATTCTATTCTATTTTCTATTCTATTTTCTATTCTATTCTATTCTGATCACATGAAGTGTTAACACAACTATATAAGGCCTTGGTAAGACCACACATGGAATACCGCATCCAGTTTTGGTCACCACAATATAAAAAAGATGTTGAGATTCTAGTCTAGAAAGAGCGCAAAGAAAAGCAACAAAGCTAATTAGGGGACCGAAGGCTAAAACAAATGAAGAATGGTTGAAGGAATTGGGTCTGTCTAATTTAATGAAAATAAGGACTGGGGTGACATAGTGTCTAAGGGGTGTCCCAATATCAAAAGGGCTTCTACAAGGAAAAGTGGGGGTCAACCTATTTTCGAAAACACCTGAGAGCAGGACAAGAAGTAACATATGGAAACGTACCAAAGAGAGATCCAACCCAGGACTAAGAATAAATTTCCCGACAGTAAGAACTTTCTAGTATTAAAAGTCATCTGCTGGTAATGGAATATTTATTCTCTGAGAACATCTGTATTTTAAAGAATGTTATAGAGGGAAGAAAAGAAAAAGAATCGGGCAGGGCAGGGCAAACTTGGCACATTTCCCCCCTTTCAACTCTGCCTCTGTTCTCGTTAATTGAATTCAGCTTCTCAGTTTGCAGGCGCACAATGGAGATCTTTCATGAGAATCGCGCCCCCCCCCCCCATCCCCCAGCTAGGGAACAGATCAAATTGCAGGTTTCAGCTTGCTTAGCGCTCCAAGAGTTTCTCAACGGGGGTACTCATTTGCACTAATTTCATCAGGGAGAAGGAAGTGGGAGACAAGAAGGTCTTGACATCCAGGTGATTGAGAGAAGTGAAACCAAGGTGGTGAACAAGGAGAGAAAGTAAAGACACTGTGTGCTCTCCCCCATGTCTAAAACAGAGAGATGGGAAGGGAAATGTGCAGGCCCTTTATTTCAGAGATGCCCAAAGCTAAGCAGCAATGCAGGGAAGATGAAGTAATACAAAAGGAACTTCCAGAACATACTGTAAACGAGCCTTTGATTATAAACTCGCATTTTCGCATCATAAATCAGTCACTAAACCACTTTAGCGTGGAATCTTAATGCTTCCCGCTCTATCATGAGTGGGAGTTTTTTATATCTTCTTGTTTTAGAAAAAGAAGGTAGTTATGACATTTCACAGAAAATGTAGTATCCAGTCATGTTGCTTTATATGTTGATGGCAAGTTATGTGTTATTAAAAGAAAGAGGAAGTGCATACGATAATTTTAACTATAAGTGCGGCATTAGAACAGCTACCATTTAAAAAGTGGTGCAACGTATTCCTTCATGATAGAAAAGACTGTGGTCAGATGACTTGTGTACCTGTTTAATCTGCAATTAACTATGCTTATAGTTCCTGGATGTGACTCTTCAATAGAGGGTTGTCTGGATTCAAACACAGGACTATCTGGCCATATTAATTTTAGAGGTCATGAAAGTCTGCAGCCCTCAATCTCAGGAGCTTTGTGATCCTCTCTCCACGCCTTTAAAACCAATGCTATGTGCTTCACTTCACATTTATTACACTACATTTTATAGATAATCTTGGGGCCGCATCAGGTAGTCCTTGACTTATGACCGATTGCTTAGCAACTGTTTGAAATTACAATGAACCTCCCTGAGGGTACTTATAACCTGGATTCAAAGTGTCATGTGGCTGCACTTGGAGCTTTTGGCAACCAAACTTCATTTACATACATTTGCAGTATCCTGCAATCACATGACATCTTTATGATGGTTTTGCCAATAAAGGCCATTTAGTTTCAAGTTTCTAGCAAAATCAGCCATATGGTTGGTTCTATGGGTTTACTTAACAACCACAGCATTGTCTTAAAGACTACAGCATTCACTTAATGACTGCCACAATAAAGATTGTTAAGATTGGGTTGGTCAAATAACCAACATGATATACATACATCATAATTCATGGCTGTAAATGGGCAGGTTCATTACGGTTATAGTTCTAGGACTACTTATATGCGTACAGCAAGGATCATGCTAAATCAGTACAACTGTGCTTTCTGCAACATAAGTTGCCCCCAGGAAATCCCGCAGCAATTTGAAATGGCGTTTTTGGATTCTTCCACAGATGCTCTCTGACATCACGGGGAGCCTGCTGAAGCCAAACCTAATCTAAAGAACAGAAATAGAAGTGGAAACAGTTCAGTGATCTGGATTTGAAAGATGATTGAGAGCACGCAGGACACCAACAAGCAAGTTCTTAAAGAAGCTACACCTTCTCTTAGGCTCACATGCCATTCCCAAAGATTAGGAATTAATTTAAGAGGGGCTGACAGGTGCAACAGGCATGACTCCAAATCATCGTTTCCTCTTCAAATCCCTTTCACCGCACGCCCTAAAAGAAAATGCTACAAGTTCAGTAAGATTTGAATTTAGGTAAGCTTATTTCAAAGCACAGCCTTGATATGTACAAAGCTTGTCCCTATTGACATGGCTAAGTCTGACTTTCATTTCTGTCTTTGGGAGATAAGCGTTTCTGTAGACAGTAACTGTCTAAACTTAATTCACTCATATATAAACATTTGTCAGCATGGTCACTAGAATCTTTGTACAGGATTAAGGGATTATTTTTCATGTAAAAAGTCCTTGAGATCAACCAACAATTCTGGAATCTTTCTGGAAGGGCGTTCTTTTTGCCTGGGCTAGGTTGTTTTTTTCCTCCAACAACACTATAATTCAGACATTAATGACATATTTTGTTAATCTGAGTAAACTGGGGACCTGATGCATTTATAAAAAGGTCCTCTGAATATTCCAGAGCTTTGCTGATAGCTCCAAGGATATCTAGTTGCGATATCTGTGAAGAATATGTATGGAGAGATTTGCACCTTACATGTACTTCTGGCATGAGTGTTTGGCTGTCATGGCAGTTCTCTCTACTAATTGCCCTTAGGGGGTGATGAGGGCTAGTTGAGAGCCAGGCCATTTGGCAAAGATTCTGTTCTTAGACAAAAAAAAAGGAGAAAGGAACTGTTTTGCTATGCCTGTCGCCATTGGCAACAGTGTGAGGAAAAGAAAGGCCTGGCTGTAAGATGGCCTGTGTCCTAATCCTGAGTTTCTGAGGCAGATGTCCCTGTACTCCTTCCTCCCTTGGTGGCACTCGGCTGCCTCCGCTGATCAGTATCCCTTTCCCCAGAAGGATACATCAGCAACGCAAGGAACATCGTAATCCTAGGATAAGTTATTTCTGTTTTCGTTTTTTAATGCTACATGCTTGTGGCAATGACACCACATTCTTACTATTTTAAACATCAGTTTGGACTCTTAAGAGGAAAGGCAATACATATGATTAAAATATTATAAAATTTGCACTCAGGAACTGAATCAGGCAGGTTGGTGTCCAATGACCCCTTCACCCAGGGCTAGGGACTTCTTTCTCTGATTAGCCTCCTGTGTATAGAATTGAGGTTGTGATTTTTAGAGAGACGTACTTAACAATGGCACTCCCAACTATAGCCTTGACAAGTGAATCAAGAGAGTATATGTACCTGGTAGAGGACAACTGGAAAGAAGCACTTCTTAAAAACACCCATTTGTTTCACAGCGTTCCATTCCTTAAAACAAATGTCTAAATCTAATGTCTGGCTTATTTTGGGCCTCGTCAATCTGTTTTAAACAGTCCTTATGACAGCCAGCTATTTGGCATGTGCTGTGGTAAAACCATATGAAATAAACAGACATCTGTTTTACACTTGAGCATGACCAACCCTCAGAGTAAACCTACATGAGAGCTGTGAAATCTTGAGAGAAGGAAATCTAGTATTTAAGTGGGGCTTCGGATGGAGAGAGAGACTGCTCACCTAGTCTCAAAACTATACCAGCTCAGTTACTATTTTGTGGGGAAACTGATCACAGAACCATCAGAGTTACTTTGTGTGGGAAAGCTGGTGGAAATTACTTTTTCTAGTGGGCAATTACCAGGTTTCTCTATTCAAACAATCCAATCTATTTAAAAACTATTTTGTGGTGATAGATGACCAGGCTTCTTCTAGCAATAAACCTAGTAAAATCCTTCAGTTGGGGCAGGCCCAGGGAAGTCAGTAAACTGAAACACTTGTGTGCAATGTAATCCTCTGATAATATCATTTTGTCACAATTCAGCGGGGTGTTTTTTTTTAACACTTATGGCAAAAGTTTGTTTTGGGGGTGCCTTTATACCCCTTGAGATCCCTGTAGGCTCATTTTGGAGCGCGTGTGCTCAGTCCCTCTCAAATGGACTCTCTGTAGTATTGCAGCCCAAAACTTCTCCCCTTCTAACGTGGCTTACTTGTGAATCAGAGATTTCTGAAGGCTTCTCAGTAAGGCTGCTGCTCTCGGCTGGAATGAGGTCATTGTACTTTGTCACATCTTCATCTGAGTAGTGCAGTGAGCCTGGGCTGGGCCGTGGTGGGGACCTTAGGAGAGACACAGAAACTCGTGAGATGTCATTCAGAAGGAAGCCAGTTTTGAATGGAAGAGCAAGGAGCCGCTCCCAGATTTGTTTACCCCCTACACCCGCTTCTTCTCATGAGCCTGGAAGCCTCTGGTACCTTGTATATATTCCATTCTTCCTGCAGAAGGAATTTTTTACTGACATGCGTCGATTGTTCAGTTCTAGAGCAGGGAAGCTGCTCTCATCCAGGCTGACCATTTCACCGTGGCTAAGTGCATTTGACTTGGAGTTGCTCCCTGAAACAGGGTGAGGGAAACAAGAACAGAAGCTGTTAGTAATTTGGAGTCTCTTTGATTTAGAGCACAGAGGCTCCTTTCTCCCCCAAAGAACGAATTTCAGAAGTTTGTTCTAAACTTTCTGATTTTTTTAAATTGTGAGTCATCAGCGAAAAACAAGACCTAACTCCCCTCTATGAGCTATCATTTGATGCTGAGTGAGTGAGATAAATATCCCTGTTAACACAATGTAAGGCACAATTTCCTGACTTTAATCTCTTACATTGTTCATACAGGCTTTGCACCCAGGACAACATTTTGTACTATAATTTTAATATAATTGTTATGTCCCTGGAACTTGCCAAAGTCCCCACCCAGGTCCGTTCATGCTGCGGGGGCGTTTGCTGTCCCTCATTGGCTGGCCTCCCTCGCCAGCCGGCTATAAAAGCCAGCTGCAGGGTCCGGCCAGTCGCTGATCGCTGTGAGCCTGCTCCAGGCAGGGTTAACACGTTCAGTCCTTTATTGCTACAATAAAGTCTTGTTGCACCCAAGCCCTGGTCTAGCCTCTCATTGCTCAACTACAACACTGGCGACGAGGATGGGATGGCTACCAGAGGCAATTCGCAACAGCTGAAATCACTAAAACCGCTGAACCGCAGCTGCACCGCTGGAGAGCTCGGTCAGCAAGAGCGAAAGTAATAGCGTCTGTAGCCGCTTGTTAGCAAGCTACAGAGGAAAGTGAAGCGCTGCGAGCCGCAGCCGCTCAGCACAAAAAGAGCGCAAAATTCAAACGGCTGTCGTTTGGATTTCTTGCCGGAATACAGCGCGGTGCTGTTATTCCGAGCTACTGACACTTACGCAGGCGCGAAATTCAAAGCGCTATCAGAGGCAGCAAGCCATCACCGCCTACGCTCTCCAGGAGCGCGAATTTCAAAACGCTGCCAACAGCCGTTGCAGCTTAGCCCCAATTGTAGCCCAGAGAGAGAGCAGAGAGGTCTGTGGAGCCTCTCCAGAGCTGTAGTCACTAGCCTGACAAGAGCACAAGTGCCATTTGTTGTCCCAGAGAGATTTCTCAACAGCACATCACGCAGGAGTCCTCATCATGAACTCCAACCCAGCCTTCCCACCGTTCAAGCCGGAAGAAGAAAAATGGGAGTCATACAAGAATCGTTTTAACCACTACATCGACGCTATCGGTCTAGCTGATGCTGGGGAGCACAGAAAAAAGTCATTCTTCCTCAGTTATTGCGGGGCCATCGTTTTTGATACCGCCACAGCACTCGTCGCTCCACGTGAGTTAAAAAATGTCCCCTGGCCAGAATTGCTAGAGATTCTCACCAACCATTACTCCCCCAGACCCTCGCAAATTGCAAGGCGTTTCACCTTCCGGATGAGGAAGCAAGCGGAAAAGGAAACCGTCAATCAATATATGGCCGCCTTGAGGACTGCAGCCCTCCACTGCGGGTTCGGGAACTATCTTGATGACATGCTCCTCGATCAGCTCGTCTGCGGGGTCAAAGACCTTCACCTCCAGAGGCGACTACTCGCCAGGAAGGACCTCAACCTATCCCAGGCCGTCGAGGAAGCCTTGGCTGCAGAGCTGGCAACACAGTCCGCCACTGAAATCCAAGGCCCCGTTCCCAAACAAAGCTGCACCACCGTTCATTCAGAAGAGGTAGTCAACGAGGACGACCCTAACGATCAAACAGACATCCACCGCCTCACCCATGCCAAACAACCACAGGCAGGAGCCAGGCAAGAAACCAACAGCGCACCCAAACACATCATCCTGTGCCTATCCTGTGGCGGACCTCACTCGAGAGCTACGTGCAAATTCAAGGGTGCCATCTGTAACCATTGCCACAAAAAAGGCCACATCGCTAGAGTCTGCCAGGCCGCGCACAACTCAGCACAAAAGGTTCCTTCTTTTTCCCATTCTGGGTCCCAAAGGCAAGTACTAAATTGTCACACTTGCTACCATGCTAACCACACCTGTCACTCTATTAGTAAAATAACACTCTCCATTTTGTTAGAAGGTAAACCTTGTCGTATGGAGGTTGACACGGGGTCAGCGCTCTCAATCATCTCTTGGAGCACCCTCAAGAGAATCCAGCCCAGGCTCTCCAGAAACCAGCTCCAGAAGTGCCAGATCTCCTTGAGGGATTATCAGGGAAAAGACATCCCAGTACTCGGCAAAGGCAAGTTCCTTGTTAATTTTAAAGCTTTCAAAGGCCACCTGCCTCTAGTGGTAGTTAACGGCAACCTCCCCAGTCTTCTGGGGCTTGATTGGTTCCCCTACCTCGGCCTAGGGTTAACAGGAGTCCATGCTGTCTCAGCTTCTGACACTGACTCCTTATTCAATGACTACTCAGACGTATTCAGCAATGAGTTAGGGTGTTATAATGGTACCCCCATATCATTTGCAGTTGACCCCCAAGCGATTCCAGTCCGGCTGAAACCGCGCAGAGTCCCATTCGCCATTCGGCCTAAACTAGACACAGAACTTGATAAATTGTTAAAGCAAGGGGTCATTGAACCAACAGACTTCGCCAAATGGGAGACGCCAATTGTCACACCCCTTAAAAAGGATGGCAGCCTGAGAATTTGTTCAGATTACAAAACAACAATCAACCGCTTTCTACAAGTTAGCGCATACCCAGTACCGGTCATTCAACATTTATTACATACCTTTGAGCCTGGCAACATTTTTGCCAAATTGGACATGTCGCAAGCGTATCAACAGTTCCCTGTTGACAACCAAACAGCCGAACTGCAGACCATTGTGACCCACAGGGGTGCATTCCGGTGCAAGCGTCTCCAGTTTGGCGTAAGTGTTGCCCCGGGCATCTTCCAATCCCTCATGGAGCGTATACTACAGGGCCTCCCTGGCGTAGTACCCTACTTCGACGACATATTGGTCTCGGCCAGGGACAGACCCCAACTCTTCCAGAGAGTCAGAGCAGTGTTAGACAGGTTCAGACAGCATGGCCTCAAATTAAAAAAGGAAAAATGTGCCATTGCCACTAGACAGGTGGACTTTCTGGGCTATAAAATTGATGCCTCAGGCATTCACCCCCTAGAGTCCAAGGTCAAGGCAATTCATGAGGCACCCACGCCAACCACTAAAGCCGAGCTCCAAGCCTTTTTGGGATTATTGAACTTTTATGCATCATTTCTGCCTCACAAGGCATCAGTAGCAGAGCCCTTACACAGGCTCTTAGATAAAAAAGCACCTTGGCACTGGGGACACAAGGAAGACACTGCTTTTCGTGCAGTCAAGTCACTGCTCACATCTGACGCGGTCCTTATTCAATTTGACCCACACCTCCCACTGGTACTAGCCGCGGATGCATCCCCTTTTGGGATTGGCGCCATATTAAGCCACAGACTACCCAACGGCTCTGAGGCACCAATTGCCTTCTTTTCCAGAACGCTCTCAGCAACAGAGCGTAACTATAGTCAGATCGACAAGGAGGCTTTAGCCGCTGTGGCCGCGGTTAAGAAATTTCATGAATTCCTGTTTGGCCACAACTTTGAGCTAATCACGGACCACAAGCCTCTCCTGGGTCTTCTTTCCGGAGACAAGCAGACTCCCCAAGTGTTGTCTCCCAGAATGACAAGGTGGACCTTGTTCCTGGCGGCTTATTCGTACAAGCTCATCCACCGCCCAGGAAAAACGCTAAGCCACGCAGACGCCCTCAGCCGCTGCCCCCTGCCAGCTCCAGCAGAAGACCCAACCCCGGTCCATGCCATCTTCGATGTCACCGAGCTCGACCTTCCTGTCACCGCCCTCGACATCGCCACCAAATCCAGGACGGACAAAACCATCGCCCAGGTACTAGACTGGGTGAGGAGGGGGTGGCCGGGTTCTAACCTCTCAGCCGAATTCACACCTTTTAAGACCCGCCAACAGGAGCTGTCTAGCATACAGGGCTGCCTGTTGTGGGGCACCCGGGTTGTTATTCCGGCCTCACTTCGCACACCAGTCTTAGAGGCACTACACGAGGGCCACCCGGGCATCGTCCGGATGAAGGCGTTGGCATGGAGCTACGCCTGGTGGCCTGGTTTGGACGACGACATCGTCAAGTGGGTAAGCTCATGCCAGCCCTGCCAGGAATCCAGACCATCCCCTCCTGTCACCACCCCCACAAAGTGGGAGAGCGCCAACGCGCCTTGGTCAAGGCTACACATTGACTTAGCGGGTCCAATACATGGCAAAACCTTCCTGGTGGTCGTAGATTCATACTCTAAATGGATCGATGTGGCCCAACTATCCACGACCACCACGCTAGCAGTTACCAAGGCTCTAACTCGCCTATTCGTAACACACGGGCTACCAGATACCATAGTTTCGGATAACGGCCCCCAGTTTGCCTCAACAGAATTTAGCCGTTTTGCCACAAATCTTGGTATCCGACATATCTTCACGGCTCCCTTCCATCCTGCCAGCAACGGACTGGCGGAGAGAGCCGTTAGATCCACAAAAGAAGCGTTAGCCAGATTCAGCAAAGAAGATTGGCATCACAGACTCTCCCGTTTCTTGCTAAGCCAACACTCGACCCCTTGCATGGTCACCAACAAATCCCCTGCTGAACTGCTAATGGGTAGACGCCTAAGAACTGTGTTGGATAGGCTCCACCCTCATTATTGCCCTGACACCCCTCTCGCTTCAACGACGGGGGTCAGAGATTTTGTCTTGCAGGAACATGTATTTGCAAGGAACTATGCCGGAGACCCGCTGTGGATTCCAGGAGTGATAGTAGCCATCACCGGTCCCCGGTCGTACCGAGTACAGCTGGAAGACGGCCGCATCTGGAGAAGACACCTGGACCAGCTAAGGAAGCGACAGGGTACCTTCGCCAATGTCGGATCGTGGGCTCAGGTCGACCCCCAGGTGCCACACCAAGCTCCCACCGAAGACCACGCCAGAGTTGCTCCACCACCACCGCCCGGACCAGGAGAGCAGGCAGTAGACCGGGACTGCCCAACGGGTCTGCCACCAGAACCAGTAGACGGGGCCACGACATCACCAAACATAAGCACAACACCGGTGCCTGTGCAACCCTCAGGGCGAGGCTGCACCCCATCACCAACCCCACCGGTTGCCTTGAACTCTGAGACACTTGGTAACTCACTGGAGTTACGGCGCTCGGGGCGCCAGCACAGACCGCCCGCTTATTTAAGTGACTATGCGTGTTCGCATCTTGGGGGAAGGGGTGTTATGTCCCTGGAACTTGCCAAAGTCCCCACCCAGGTCCGTTCATGCTGCGGGGGCGTTTGCTGTCCCTCATTGGCTGGCCTCCCTCGCCAGCCGGCTATAAAAGCCAGCTGCAGGGTCCGGCCAGTTGCTGATCGCTGTGAGCCTGCTCCAGGCAGGGTTAACACGTTCAGTCCTTTATTGCTACAATAAAGTCTTGTTGCACCCAAGCCCTGGTCTAGCCTCTCATTGCTCAACTACAACAATAATTCTCATACTATTTCTTATTATTTACCTCTTCTTGATCCTACACAGGAATAACACAGAGTAATTGGGGTAAATAGGAATGTGCTAAATGAAATTAAGGATTTACAGCAAGTACTGCAAAATATTTTTTTAAGGAAATCAGCATCAATTTCCTAATTAAGAACAAGCCATTAATTATCTCTCAGTATTCCCAATCCTGAAATGTGGGTGCTGAGCCCTTTTGGGATTCCTAGCATTTACCTCCTCAATGAGGGGATTTGGGGAAGGATCACTTCCCAGCAATAAAAGCTTTACACGACTATTTTAAGAGACAGTGCATGGTAATTTCTGCTCGTGCTCACTTGGAGAACTGTGACCAAGATTGTGGAGCACTAGAGCCGGCCAGTGGAGATGATGCTCTGTGCTACAAGGTGGATTTTGTGTAAGGCAGAAGAGGGGAAAAAATGACAGGTGTGTGCAAATTGCATTGGCTATGTTAAGAATTGCTTGAGGATTTTTAAAAGATAAGTTCCAAAGCATTCAGATCACCTACAGTGAACTTTTTTTATATATGTGACTTATCTTTACAAGAAAGTAATGCTTACCACTGAAGTGTTCAGGAATTTAGCTAAATAGATACAGTTAATATGGTCACAAAATCAATAGCTTTCATTAGCATTGCCAATTCCCTATTGGAGATGGGTTTAACAGGGAGAACTCCTCTGTAGTCACTGAGATTATTTGACACAGCATTTTGCTGATAGAAACACGAACATCTTGAATCTTGCATTTGAAGGCAACCCCGAAACTGCAACTGGTGCAAAATGCAATGGTTTGGTATCTGATGGATATTACTTATTCCAAGGAGACTATAAAGATGCTTTGGGTTCTACATTGGTTACCACTTTGGGTCAAAGTGCTGGCTTTGACATATAAAACTTTATATGACTTGGTATTTAGGTACCTGCTGGATTACTTTCTCCTATCCAAATTGTCCTGGCCAGTATGTATTTCTCAGGAGAAACTTTTGATCCTACTACACTTTTGTGAAATAAGGGGAATGGAGACCAGGTGGTCCCACTTCTCAACTGCTGTGTCAGCCTTATGAAATACCATCCTTTTAAGGATTAAGATTTACCCCACCCCTTCTCATGTTTTATAAAGTATCGAAGAGGGCATCTTTCCAAAGAAAATTTGCTGGAATAATTTGTTACCATCACCTTGTAATTTTGATTGGTTAAATAATTATCTTTATATTTACCCTGGACTTTTAAATTGGTTTGGGTGTTTTTGTTAATTTCTTGCAAGCTGCTGTGAGTTTCTACCAATTTGGTGGCACACAAGCTTGATGGATGTATGGATGGCTATTTGATGTGTAGTGCCCTCAATGGAAAGCCCCTGCTTATGGCAGATGAAGGCTTGAGACGATGCTGGTACTCACCTGAATCAGATTTCTTGGCATACTTCTTACTCTGCCCACGAATGATAAGGACAAAGACTAGGAGGAGGATGAAGATGAGTCCCACCAAAGCAATGACCACCAGAAACCACCATTCTTCATAGAAGGGATTGGCTTTTTGAGCTGCAAAACAGGAAGAGGAATCAAGTAATTTTTTTCCTATAGGGATACCTGTGCCCCATGCACATTGTTTCCTATAGTTTTTACTTAAAGGTTAGTTCAAAGCATGTTGGCGTGACAGAAGTTGGATTCTATCCTTAATACCTGATACTGAAGGAGATGGACTGCTAGGTGTCCCATAGCCATAGTCATTGACGGCAATGACTCGAAAATCATAGCTGACACCCTGCTTCAGAATATCCATGCTGAAAGTGTAAGAAGTCACTTCTTTGGGAATATCCTTTATGAGAATGTCCCACAATCCCTCATCTGGAAGAGAAAGAGATCAGTAAAGTTGCAATATGAAATGCAGAAACACAGGAATACACAAATACATGTCAGATGTAGGAGAATGGTGTCCTATGGGCTGGAAAGTGACTTTAGGGTCCCAGTTCTAAAAATAATGACAGAAACATGCAAGCAATTTGTTTATGCAATTAATTGCGCCATTTGTTTGTTTTGTACAACAGGAATCTTTACTTTTAAAAAAATACTTGATATTTTAATTTCAATTTGTCCAAAATATTCTTGCATGCAGAATAGATATATATATAGGGATTTAAAAAATCAAAAGGAATGCCAATTCCAAAGAGCAGTGAGCAGAGTCCCACAACAGTTGTGAAAATGTCATTGTACAGCAGGTTCATAGTTCTCTAGAAAGATTTACTTTTAATTAGTTGCAGTTGCAGCCAGTTGAGAATATAGATCATGTTGTCTCCTCAAACTGTGTAATTCATAGAAGATGCACAGGGATGTCTTAGATGGAAGATTTACCTTATAAACTCACTAGAACATTTTAGAATTTCTGCTGATTAGTTTAAGCAACAAAGAGGAGCCACAAAGAGGATGTGCCTATGATTTTGTTTTAGCACAGGCCTGTATATTTGACCTACATGGCAGGAGGAAACATATTTATATGATTTATGAGTTATCTGCATTGTACAGCTGTCTGCTGAAGCATCATGGTACTTACATTATACATTCTTTATTGGAGGACTACCTTATAGCTTTAGTAGCCAGATAGATTGCTGCACATGATTAACAGGGACCAACATTAAAAATTAATGTATGGGGCTTCTATTTACCCATGGGATAAATGCCATGGAGATGGAAAAGGAAAAGGAAGTTCAGCTTCAATCTTTAGAAATCCAGATTAATTTCCTCAGATCAACTTTCTGATGACACAACAGTGATTGGTCTCATTTGAGACAATGATGAATCTGCATACAGACAGGAGGTTGTACAACTTGCCTCATGGTGTAACCGGAACAATCTGGAACTGAACATACTCAAAACCGTAGAAATGGTGGTAGATTTTAGAAGAAACCCTCCCATACTACCACCTCTTACGATACTAGACAACACGTATCAACAGTAAAGACCTTCAAATTTCTAGGTTCTACTATATCACATGATCTAAAATGGACACCTAACATCAAAAAATGTCATCAAAAAAGCACAACGAACAATGTTCTTTCTGCCCCAACTCAGAAAGCTCAAACTGCCGAAGAATCTGCTGATTCAATTCTACAGAGGAATTATTGAGTCTGTCAACTGCACCTCTGTAACTGTCTGATTCAGTTCTGCAACCCAACAAGACAGACATGAACTTCAGAGAGGAATTAGCACTGTAGAAAAAACAATTACTGCCAACTGCCTTCAATCGAGGACCTGTATACTGCACGAGTCAAAAAGAGGGCTGTGAAAATATTTACAGACCCCTCACATCCAGGACATAAACTGTTTCAACTCCTTCCCTCAGAACGATGCTATAGAGCACTGCACACCAGAACAACTAGACACAAGAACAGTTTTTTCCCGAACGCCATCACTCTGCTAAACAAATAATTCCCTTCAACTATTTACAAGGTCTGCACTACTATTACTGTTAATCTTCTCATCACTCCTTATCCCCTCTCACTTGTGACTGTATGACTGTAACTTTGTCGCTTGTATCCTTACGATTTATATTGACTGTTTCCTAGTATGATTTGATTGCTTATTGTACCCTATGACTATCATTAAGTGATGACACTTAATGATGACACCTTATGATTCTTGACTCTTGATGAATGTATCTTTTCTTTTATGTATACTGAAAGTATTTGTACCAAGACAAATTCCTTGTGTGTCCAATCACACCTGGCCAATAAAAGAATTCTTTCGTTCTTTTTCCTTTTTTCTTTCTTGTAGAAATCTTTGGTCTTTCCTAAGATACTGCTTTTATTGGCAGTTGTTATGATCGCAACTGAGCCCCAAATTTCCATTGCTAAATGAGACAGTCGTTAAGTGAGTTTTGCCTCATTTTATGACCTTTCCTGCCACAGTTGTTAAGTGAATCAGTAGAGTTGTTAAATTAGTAACACGGTTATTAAGTGAATCCGGCTCCCTCATTGACTTTGCTTGTCAGAAGGTGGCAAAAGGCGTGACCCCCAAGACACTGCAATCAGCATAAATATAAGCCAGGTGATGATAAGCATCCAAATTTTGATCACGACCATGCTGCAATGGTCATAAGGGTGAAAAACAGTCATAAGTCACTTTTTTTCAGGCTGTTGTAACTTTTAACAGTCATCAAACAAATGGGTTGAGCACTACCTGTATTTCCTCCCATGTTAAACACTTTATTTTCCCCTGGCCATCCTTTGTACAATGTGTCAACAACTAGAACACGGAAGGCACTAGGTAGAGCCATAAAAATCATTTAAATTAAAAAAAAAAGCAAAATAAAGCTGGTTAAAGTTTAGGGGTATGAGTGGCACTTAGTCTCTATAGAATTGAATGATTCCTCAGTCTCTCTTGGTAGTTCTTTCTGTTATACTAGCAAGACTTCAAAACTCGACTTCTATATTACATGGAGAGGAAGCAATATGATCTCTATTTCTTCTGAAAATCCAGAGTGGCATCCAAATTTAAATAGGTTGCACTCCAAGGAGTTTAAAGTCTAAAAATTGATGGTGTGCTGAAGACAATGGGATGCAAGAAGAAGCAGGATGAACACAAATAAATGCTCAGAAGTAATTTGATTTCTCTGGGAAGGGGGAAAGAATCCATAATGATATCATTGAAAAAAAAGAATAAGAACTGTAAAGAGGGATTTGTATAAAAAGAGAAAGTAAAAGCTAGTTCAGAAAAGAGATTCAGGATAAATGAATGTGAGAATGGAATTAGAAAGGAAAATTATGAAGCTGGAAAATATATGGGGTGCAAAGATCAGAAGATCAATTATGATTCTCTTCACTTACGATGCTTTCAATTCTAATGACATCCTGTTTCATTCAGGATGCTAAAATGATTGTGTCAACTTGTAAATCATTCCTAAGTTGACAGTTGTGTGGTACTTTGTGGTACTCGAGGCTCTATTCTGACAGCCTGCTCTCTGCCACAGTTGCCTGAGTTTCTTTCCACGCACCCCAGATGGGAGTTGAACCCACAATCTCTGGCTTAGGAATGATATCTCTCTATTAATGTGGCTGCATCTTTGTTCAGTTTTGGTTCCTTTGGCTGTGTACAATATTAGCAAAATTCATATGTGCACATCAATAATCCATTACAGGTACTGTTAACTTTCTGTGTCAGGATAAGTACTGTCAGTCTTTCACACATTCTTTGATAAGCATTCTAGACTTAATGACAATTAATAACCTCCATGCCCTGACATCTGCTCATTTTGAGGTCTGTGAAAGACAGTTATTTTGCAGCAGCTTTATTAAAAAAGGAAGCCCCAAGTCTCTTTCAAAGCAGTTGGGTGATTTATGTCCTTGTATGTACTCAATTCCTGGCCTCTGGGTTCATCAATCATCCCTTTTAGCTGAACATTTCATTTCCCGGAATTATCCTCTTATAAAAGGGAGGAGGAGAAAGCTGAGTATACTGTATCCTTTGGGAGAGGAAGACTCCCAAAAAGTAAATTCATCCAATGAGATTTTTGGCTGGAAAGAGGCAAATGCATCAATGGGGGAAAAGTGCCTTTAATTTGTCATTCCACATTACGGAGAGATTTGAAATATATTAGTTTAATGTATTCAGAAAGAAATTCCCAGGTCTGGATATTCAGTTTCAAGTTACTTAAGCAGCTCACAATTGTTATGACATCAAGAACCAGAAAAGTTAATTTCCAAAATGTGTGCAGCTAGAATAACTGTGCTATGAAAGAACTACTAATGAATATTAACACCTTATATGAATATATGATGTTACTCATGGAAGAAACTGACCTTTGCTTAATTTACCATTTTTGTCTAGTTTTTTCATAAGGAAAAAATAATTCCATCTCATCTCTTCTTTGACTAGATTATTCAATCATTTCTGATCCAGAGGTAGCAGAAGAACACACCCAAATAAATTACTCATTTAGAGATCTTCTGGAAGAAACGGGGCTCAAGGTAAGAAAGTTCAGTTGATTTTCTGGCTGTTCAAATAATCAAAGGAGCCCAGAGCCATGGGTGAAACAATCAAAGGAAGATGAACTGAATCCAGTATCAGTACCTGAAGGACGTGCTTCAATGACGTATCTGGTGATGGGCCCTTTTCCTGGGTCACCACTCGACCAGTGGATTGTGATGGCTGAACCATATCTGGAGATGAAGGGCTCACCCGGAGGACCTGGAGCACCTGCATTTTTTTTTAACAACAACATCATTATATCATATCAGTGGAAAAATTGTGCTGTGAGGTAACACAAAGACTTCAGATGAGCCCTATAAGAATCATGCCTTACAGCAAGGGTTTCCAAACTTGGCAACTTTAAGATTTGTGAACTTCAATTCCCAGAATTCCGTATGGTAGCTGAGGAAATCTGGAAGTTGAAATCCACAAGTCATAAAGTTGCTAAGTTTGGAGACCTCTGTCTTAAAGGATATTGGAGAATGCTCCTCTAGTATTGAAACAGTATTCTTGTGGAGTTGATGGTGGACCTTGCATTTCCTTCTCCACATTGTCTATCTCCAGTGGCCTTAATTATATCATCTTCTAAGCCAGGGTGTGAAACTCACGTCGTCACAGCTGCGTCATGTCATGTATCGAGACTTTTTTCCCCTATGCTAAAACGGGCGTGGGCGTGGTCAGCATGTGACGCATCTGGCCCACGAGCCGGGATTTCGTTAGCCCTGTTCTAAGCAGATATCAGCTGGACAACTCAGTCCTAACCCAAGTATCTTCTGGGCTTTAATTAGGGTCAAATGGACCCAAATAAGAGCGCAATAAATGGTTTGGGGGAGAAACAAGCAAGGTTCCCCCCCTTCCCAAAGGCTACTTTTAAAAAAAAACTTTTAAATTTTTCCCCCCAGGCTGAGGAGGAATATGAAAAGTGACATCATCAGTGGACTGCTGGGCCAAATTTTACAACCTGTTTTTAAGAATGTTTGAATGTTGCCTAATTCATTACACAAAGTAACATATTATTTAGTTACAGTGCAGTCTCATGAAGTTTCACTGGGTGGCTGAAGGCTATTAAGCTTTCTCAGCCTAAACCTACTCATAATAGGGTTATTTGGTATGTGGGCAGAGATGGGAGGAGAAAGTGAATATTTCATTTGAAATCTTGAATGAAAAGCAAGTTATAAAACTAAAATATATCAATAAAATATTTTAGCACTAAATAATATATGAAAGACAAAAAAATGTTACCAAAGGTGTGTTTTGATGCTGAATTTTACAATTCTGGTAGGTTGCAAATACCAGAAAAATGATATTTTACAGAGTAAGCTATTTTATATTCATTTCTTGTTATCCTGTTATATTTAAAAAGAAACTTTTGAAGCATTAAAAATGTAGTTTGAGCTGATTCATGAATTTATAATATAGACATTTTGGTTTAATGTGGATGTTAGCCGTTCGGTTAATTAAATAATATACCTGCTATTTATAGGCATTTCTCAGCTAGGGAAAACATTCCATATGCAAAACTAAGTGGCTTTCAGAGAGAAATTTTTCCAGATACTGGGTAATCCACATTTACTGAGCTTAAAAGGTTTACAATGCTGGACTCAACACTGGAACATATGAAGAAACAACTGAGTAAGCACAACTGAGATTCCTTTTACAAAGAGTCACCTTATTATTACACAAACACGAAGGCCTCTGGCATTTCAGATTATTTTATGACATTTTTTTCTCTTTAAGGATTTGCATGGGCCACATGAATTGATGGCAACTTTTTCAATGATCTTTGCTAGGCCAAGGAATAGGGAGAACTCTAGAACATTGGGATCGGGGGACAGTTCAGAACAATGATGGTGTGTATAATTAGCCATTATATTTATTTGTGTAGTTATCTCTTTGCTTTCTATGTGATTATGACTGTAGAAAACCATTCAGTTCCATTCTGTCTAAATATGAAGAAAGAAGAAATATGATTTTGCTACACTAATCAACAGACTTGGAAGGAGAAACTCTTTATCAAACCTGAAACTGAATCCAGTACTTTTTAAGCATCTCAGATTAGGCAGGATCCTATTAAAAAACTGGAGTCATAGAGGAAATATTTCTGGGCGTGGTGGTGGTTTATTATTGGGCATGGTCCTGGCCTAGAGGTGGATCTCTTGCCTCACGATCAGGAGGCTGTGAGTTTGACCTTAGGTAGCAGCGGATATTTCTCTGGCAGAATGTGTATTTGCTGCGAACTCTGCATTGGCTACAGGAAGGGCATCCGGTCAGTAAACACTCTGCTCCATTCAGCTGCCTTGACTCCACCCCAATGTAAGGGATTATGGGGTCATTAAAAGACAAAAAAAAAAAAAGGTCCTAGTTTAAATTCTAATTGTTAAGATCTGTTAAGAGTAGGTGAAGTATGATGGAGAAAGCAATCTCATCTCTCAATTTCCTTGATGTACCTTCCCCTGGCCCTGTGGTGATGTTGGCTTCTACTTCTGGACCATAAATGAAGGTCTTGGCTCGAATTCGGAATCGGTAGGTGACACCTTCGGACAAGTCCTTGACTTTCAACCACAAAGGACTGTTTCCCTTCACGTCCACGGTCACAATTTTGCTGACGCCTGGAAGGCAGAAAGGTGCATATTTTGAGATGGATTCAGGAGACTGGGTAGAGTGGGGAATAAAGCATGGTCTGGGGGCATCCAATAAAAGCACCCTGGTCTGCAACAGGGGATGAGGCTGCTATTGGGCCATTCTAGGGAAAGAAGCAGTGGCTGATTTCAGTATCCCATTCTCCATGATATTTTACTGGGCCACTTGGCAGGATCAGGCCTTGTGACAATGGTTTTACAATGGTTCTAATCCTTCATGTGAGAACACAGTAAGAAAGCAGCATTGAGAACTACAATTTGACATCTGTTTTGTTGAATGATGTTGATTCACAGGGCTCAACTTTGCTTTTTGTATTATGTGGACTGACATTGGGGTACAATGTAAACAAATAAAAGATGATAGATAGATAGATAGATAGATAGATAGATAGATAGATAGATAGATAGATAGATAGAGAAAAATAAACCAATCACCAGGGTTCAGGTTGTCTGAAGAATGCCTTTTATCTTTTCATAACTGATTAAGTTATGGCTATTAGAACCCCTTGCTTTTATGGCTGGGGGTTTACTGATGGCTTATGCAGTTGAGATGTAGAAATACAATTTGAAGTTCAGAAGGTCCTGGTTATGGGCAGACATAACTTTTTAAATCTGTAGTCCCATAGTCATAAATTAGAACATTCTTCTAAGACAGCAAGGTGTGTTCCCTTGCCATTAATTGTTGTGCTTGATTTAGTCAGTCATGCACATCCAGACTTGCATATCTGCTCCCTGTAAGTTCCTTACCATCCACAGGCATGCAGGGTTCATAAATGAGCCGGTAGCCTTCAAGGATTCCATTTGGAAAAAGCGGGGGCTCCCAAGACACATTCACAGAAGTTGTGGTGAGTTCACTGAATTTGACAGAGCCTGGGGAACTGGGGGCTTGGAGGAAAGAAAAAATATATAAAATTAGAAGGAAGAGTATTGCTATATTACATGATCTAAAACAAGTGTATCCAATCTTGGTAAGATTCATGAACTTCAATTCCCAGAATTCTGTAACCAGACAGTTTGGTTGGGGAATTCAGTGCATTGAAATCGACAAATCTTACAGTTGCCAAGGTTGGCATCCCCTGATCTAAATTGAAGTTGTAATGGCTATCGACCAGGAGTATGAAAAATGAATGATAATCCATTAAGGAAAATTGCACTTTCCCCTTGAATACAGCCAGTGTACAGTCTTTTCTGAACAGCCAGTGAAGGGAGGCAAGGTGATCAGGAAGTCAAAATAAATATGGAAGCCGAGTGAATTGTGACAACCACCCAGAGTCGCTGGGAGTTAGCCAGCATATACTGTACATTTAATACATTATTAAATTATTAAACAGAGGAGACTGTAGTTTGGGAAGTCAATGGAAGAGGTGACACTGAAGTATATAACTGTGTTTCAAAGGGCGTCCAAATCTATCAAAGAATATAGGACACTCTTAGTCCTTGCCTCCAAACCCAAATTTTGACAACAGTGTTCCAAGACCTTCCTTCCTACGTGCAGCCATTTTCAGCACAAAAACTTTATGCATCCTGCTGCTTCCTTTGGCTGAACTGCTTGAAGGGGTTGGAAAAATTGGAGAAGACAGAAATCAGGCTGGTGAGAACCTGATTGCTATCTGTATTAATGCTAGGCTGACTTCAGGTGCTGTGGAGCTTCAGGAAATTATCAGGGTAATTATTTTTCCTTTTTTCCAACTGTAGAAGGAAAGAAAGATGAAGTCAAACCCAAATCCAGAAAAGGAACTAATCTTGGATGTCTATTTTACTAGAATTGCCTAAAATGACTTCTCAGTGCACTAAATCTTTTTTAATCTGCTGGGATTGAATAATTCCCTCTGGCTGGTTTTGAAAAAAAAAGGATGACAATAAGGTGGTATTGTATTCCTCTTGTTTGGTAATAAATTTACACAGGTGGAGATTGTTTTTCCTTCCTCAACATTGGGCTCTTGGTTGCCTTGACAACCAAGACATTTTACATGTCTGGGTTATCTGGGGAAACATTGAGCTGCTTTTGGCAGGCTTGTGACACTGGTGAGAAAGAAAGAATGAAATCACTAAAAAAAAAAAAAAACCACCCTACTGAGACACCTATTTAGAAAGTAGGTCATGAGTCAGATTCCCCAGAAATGTTTAAAAAGGAAGAAAAGAAAATGCAAAACTGACAATCACAACTGGGATGTGTTTGGAAGGTATTGTATTAAACTGTAAACTATTCCTTCCAACTTACTCACTCCTGTGAAAAAGGGAACCATTACATACCCGGAACTTTGGCTTTATGAGAAGGTGTGATCATTTTTTCATTCTCTATTTTCCTTTTCTTACAAGTGATCACAATCAACCTATTAGGATTGTTCTGAAGATGAATAAGGGCTGTGCCATAAACAAGTGTTCCCACAGTTGTTTAAACATCAGCAATGAAGCAGCTATATTAAATGGCTCAACTCGCTTAAGTACATGTGAAGAATTCCTACAACCACAATCAAATCTTCTCTTCCTGGCATCTAACACCTGCAATAACATTGATCCAAATCCTTATTATCCGGGCACTATTTTTGTAAAGAAACCTAAATCGCACGCCCACAGTAGCAATTTTTTGCTCATAGAAAAATATCCAGATAGTGGGCTCTTTGTTTTTCACAAAGACCAAGCAAACAGCTCATTTAGCAAGTCATGGTTCCCTCCCCCGCCCCTCAGAAATTAAATTAGCTTGAACTTGCTAGCTGTGATCTGCGAAACAGATCCCAGTGCCAACCAATGCTTGAAGGGGGATAAAAAGGAGGAGCCCGGAATGGTTTTATTTGAAATTAGGCTAGATTTAGTTAGACTCATTGAGAAGAAGCAAGATGATTTTTGGTTCTCTTAAAACATATGGCAGAGAGAGAGAAAAATCCTGCCCATTCTGAACAATAGGCCGATGGATCACAAAACATTTTCTCTCTCCTTCTCTCCCTCCCTCCCTCCCTCCCTCCCCCTTTTCCCCATGGTGACCTCTGTCTTGCTGCACATTATTGCCTGTCAGGTTTTTCCAATACAAATACCAAGATGAATGAAAAGAAACATATAGATTTCTTACCAAGGAGACCGAAAACAAAATTAACATTCCTTTGTCATTCGTCCATTTTCAAAAAGAATTAATGTCTGAAGTAAGACTTTATACAGCATACAGATGCCAATAAATAACCTGGTTGGTGACCTGATTTAGCTTGGAAAGCAAGTTTATTTATTTATTTTAAAGTCCATTCTTCCTGATTAATTGCACCTTCCTTGATGGTTTGAATTAGCATGTTTTTGTAGCTAAAGGAACACAATTTCTTCCCTGACAGTATTATGATTTTAAGTAACAAAAAAGGCAATATTTTCTTTTTGCAAACAAATGTCTGCCACAAAAGCTGTGAGAGTTATTTTTCATATCAATAAAATAAATGGTTGTCCTAACAATAGAAAATGGGAATCCCAGAACACTTGTTCTCAAGCAAAACCTTTACACAGGGCAAGAAATCATAGCCGGGGTGGAATATGATAAAACAGACTGGCAAAGAAGTGAAATAAAGCGTTAGGCTCCATCGTTATTCAACCTATAGGCATAGTTGCTTGCAGGCAGGTGGTGTGAAAAATGATTAATTGCACCAACTCAGCTGGCACTTTAGAGGAAGATCTATTAGGCAACTTTTAAGATTTATGAACTTCAACTCCTTAACAACTTTTAAGACTTATGATTTCAGCTCCCAGAATTAGTAACAGAATTAGCAACTTTTAAGACTTGTGATTTTAATTTACTCACTTAATAACTTTTAAGACCTGTGGAAACTGGCTGGGGAATGCTGGGAGTTGAAATCCACAAGTCTGAAAGTTGTCATGGTTGGAAATGCCAGATCTACATAGTGTGCAGAAAAATAAAAACTGATCATTTCTGTGATTTTTTTCTTTTATAACGGAGAGTCCTTGGCCCCACCATTCTTGAACTAATTACAAAACATCCTTACGTTTTGAGACTAGAATAGATTCCTTTCATCATGGTTCTTTGACCTGGCATTGAAAAGGAACGGCAGAGGTGGGGAACATACTTGTGTCATTTGACACTGGGCAATACTGTGTGCTTTTGTAACAAGAAATAAATAAATTAGGCTGGGAAATTTCAAACTTGAAGCCCATTTGTGAGGGCCGAATAATGAAGCCGCAACAATGGTAAGATGAATGAAGCAAGGGCACAGAACATTTTAAAGGGAAATAACAATAACAACATAGCAACTTTTAATCTCTCTGTGTAATTCATGCCACTCGTTTTTAGCCTATCAAATTGCACCATCCAACTGGAGGCAAATATGGGAGATGTTTTGATTAGTCCACCAGCAGAAGGCCCCATCTACTGGCTCATTTATTAAAGCAAATCTTTTCCTATTTCCATATGTCTTCCAAGTACAAATTTTCAACCAAAGAGGCCATTGAAATGGCATCATTGCTGTTATTATTATTATTTTTTAGCTGAGTAATCTCCACAATCCATGGAAGCAATTCATGGGATAGATTTTTCCCCCCCACATCCTTTGCCTTTGGCTCCTGTTCTCAGCTTCAGTATTTTACTTTTGTCCAAAACAAGGGGAGATGTAATATTTGCAGTCAATCTTCTTTCTTATTTCCAGAGGTTGTCATCTTTTCATGGAATTTCCAATTTTTCTATGCATTTTTATAGCTGATCTTTCACTGCCCAATTCCCTCTCGGAATGATTTTTGAATGCAGTTTTATTAATATATTGGCACAGATACTTTAAAAGGTTTTGAACATAGACATATTTGTAATATCATTCTTGAGCTTCCACACTCAGTGGCATTTATTTATTATTTTATAATCACCATGATGGCATAATGGGTTAGAATGCAGTACCGCAGACTACTTTTGCTGTCTGCAATTTGGCAGTTTGAATCCCACCAGGCTCAACGTTGACTCAGCCTTCCATCCTTCCAAGATGGGTAAAATGAGGGCCCAGATTGTTGGAACAATATGCTGACTCTGCAAACCACTTAGGGCTGTAAAGGCACTATAAAGTGGTATATACATCTACGTGCTATTGCAATGCAATAACTGATCTTCCCTTGGTATGACCTTTCTTTCAGGGAGGATTTTGTTTTCAAATTACCACATAAACATAGACAAATGCATAGATTGGGCAGAACAGGGATGCTAACATATTTTTTTCTTTCTTCTAGCGGACAGATGAAAATATTTTTCCTAATTCAGAACCAGAAACTGTGACATGGGCAGACTCTATGATCATTCAGCTGTTGAATAGTTTGGAAGCAGATGAGGATGAATTTTATATTCTCTGAAAGCTCTAGACTAGCAAAGTAAAGACCTATATATTTATAGATGAATATATATTGCGTGTGTATGTGTACGTGTGTATGTATACACACATACACATACCCCTAATGGATGTCACTACTGGTCTGACAGGTACATCTAACTTAAAAATATTCCAGATGTACTTGAACATGTATTGAGAAACAGGTGGGCTGGAGTCTGGAAATCTTCAACAAACCCTCCCTCCCTTCCTGTCTTTAAACAAGCCTTGAAAATCTGGCTCTTCCACTATGCTTTGTGATATGCAGTTATTGGATGTCTTTTGGCTGGGTTTTGTATAGGGAAGAAGACTTTTATTGTGTTCTGATTGCTTTTTTTCCTGTTCTTTGTTGGTATTTCTTGTCTTCTTTAAAAAGATAGCATGCTGCCCAGAGTCACTACATAAAGTTAGATAACTGCAGAAATGTTTTATAAATGAACAAACATGACCTACAAGACTACTATGCCCAGTGTTGGGCATAGACCCACTAACTGAGGGATTAATAAAGCAGTAGTTGTAGGAGAAGAACTGGGAGAACCTGGGAGTGGAGTTAAAAGAGAGATCAGCCAAGAATCTTTAGCTAGCACAAGCAAACTATGTCCACCCCCTCACCCCCCATGAATGCTATTGACCCTTATCTGACTTCAAATAGGTACTAATTGTTAGTTGAGAAGAAGTTAGTTGTGTAGCAATAATCAGTTTAATTGGATCTTCACATATGGACTTGATCTTTTCTGACTATCATTCATCTTCTTACTTAATGGTTAGCACTTGTTTGGAGTTAGATAAGCGACAGCAGAATTCAATAGAATAGAATAGAATAGAACAGAATTCTTTATTGGCCAAGTATGATTGGACACACAAGAAATTTGTCTTTGGTGCATATGCTCTCAGTGTACATAAGAAAAAATAAACTACATTCATTAAGAATCATAAGATACAACACTTAGTGATAGTCATAGGTTACTATAAGCAATCAAAACATTCTAGAAAAACAAAACAATATAAATTGTAAAGATACAAGCAGCACAATTATAGTCATAAGTGGGAAGAGATAGGTACTAGTAAGGATGAGAAGAAGAATAGTAATACAGCCTTAGTAATTAATTTGACAGTGTTGTGGGAATTAGTTGTTTAGCAGAGTGATGGCATTTGGGAAAAAAAGTGTCCTTATGTCTAATTGTTCTGGTGTGCAGTGCCCTACAGTGTCATTTTGAGAGTAGAAGTTGAAACAATTTATGTCCAGAATGTGAGGGGTCTGTATATATTTTCAAGGTATTTTTATATTATATGTAATATCATTTTATATTAAATATGTAGATATTTCAAGGGAGGTTGAACTTAGTTAGCTTGTGGCTACCTAGGGGTTCTAGGTTGATCCCTCTTTTAACTCTGCCTCCAGGTTCTGTTACTCTTTCTCCTACAGTGATTGAACATTATCTGTAACTGGGCATCTGTCCACTTTAGCAAAGCTGTTGCCAATTCATTCAGAGTCTCTCCCCCACATCTAAATGCCTACTGGCCAGTGATATGTAACCTACCTGCTTGCTGGGTCCTGCCCTTGATAGGGATACTGCGAGGGCCATCACCTGCAGCATTGAAGGCAAGGACGGAGATGAGGTAGGAAGTGTAGCCCGTCAGGTTCTTCAGTTTAACACCACTCTCTGGTAAGAAGAGTGTTTTTACCCTTTCAGTTTCATTCTGCCGCTGAGCTTCCCAGAAATAAATCTGTGGAACAGGGAAAATCAAATGCAATCAGAGGATATAGAAGGAAAACGTACCAGAGCAAATAAAGAAACAAGAGGATGAAATAAAGACATTTACTTCTCTCTTTGGTTTTGGCACATGAACCTACTCTTCCATTCCAAAATGTGGACATGAAAAAGTCAAAATTTCCTAAACTAACACATTTTCATTCTAGTGTTTATGCATCATGTCTTTTCTTTCAGAGCTGCATCTCTTTATATATCACCCTCCAATTATCCTAAGCCTCACACTTGGATTTTTCAAGATCATCTCACAGATACAGTTGCATTTAATTGACTCTTTAAAAAGAAGCTCTTTGACTGTGTTGTTGAATTGATGAAGTATAATTACCCAATAACAAGGTAGTACATTAAGAGATAATGAAGTGATACTTCAAGAGAAATAATTAAGTCTCCCTTAACTCGGCCTTGATTCCTGGTGACTACATTGTCTTCTAGGATCTTCTGCAATTTTCCAGTCTAGTCTATATCCATGAAATTTCCTAGTGGTCTCCCATAAAAATACTAATCAGATTTGACCCTGCCTAGGACTTGACCCTGCCTAGTTTTTTGAGACTAGCTACAGCTAGCTAGGTGTTGCCATCTAGCCACCACAGCACACTGAGAAACTGAAAAAGGAATGGCCCATTTAATAACTGCCTAGTTACTTGAAGAATTCAAAAATGCTGAGATTTCTGCCTTATAAAAACATAGGTAATAAATTATACAAGCATTACCTCTCCTTTCCTTCAAGATAGACATCTGTCTAAGGTTGGAACTTGATAGAATTTCCCTTTTTCTTTTCCTTAATGTAGCGGGGGAAATGCCTTGATACTTGAATCGTGGAACTGCTAATCAAAATTTGACAACACTGAGTGCCTCCTCCCAGATTATTTTCTGGAGCAGGGCTGTCAAATTCCCAGCCTACAGGCCGGATGCATCATGTGCTGGCCACACCCATGCCCAGTTTAGCGAAGGGGGAAAAAAGTCCCGATATGTCACGTGATGCTGCTGTGACAACGTGAGTTTGACATCCCTGTTCTAGAGGGAGGAGGGAACTGAGGAGAGAAGGATTTGAGAGGCATGGATGCAAGAACAGGTCTCATGGAAGCTAAGAGTCTCACTGTAGGAAAATCTTCATTCATCAGAGGGACAGAATTAGGAATACATCCAGTGTCAGGAAAGGCAAATATTAACAAGCTGTAGCTGCGCAGTACTATGAAGTGAACCTGTTTGTAAACCATTTTAAGTTCTTTAGTAGTGTGACTTTGTTTATTTTAATGTGACTGCACATCCTACATCTTCCCCGCGTTGCTCATAATGATGGACTCAGAGACAAAGAAATAAAGGAGAAAAAAAATCTAAAACGGAGAAAGTTTTAGTAGTATCAGCAAGAAAAAGAGATCCTGCAGTAATCTCCCAAAGTTTATGGGATTTTGTTTTAATTATGAAGAGCAAAATGATAATAAGAAAAGGGACACTCACAAAAAAGAGATGTGTAACATTAATCTCTACACATGTTTTTTTAAAATTGTTAACTATCACACTGTTCCCAAAAAAATTAAGCAGGCAAGGTGGCTTAGTAGTTAAGACACTGGCCTTGTTGACCAGAAGGTTTGCAGTTTAAGCCCTGAGTGTGAGTTCCCCTTCTTGCCCCAGCTACTGCCAACCTATCAATTTGAAAGTAGATAAATAGGTACCACTTCAGTGGGAAGGTAGCAGCATTCCATGAGCTTCTGCCATATAGCCATGCTGGCCACATAATGGAAACATCTTCACACAGTGCTGGCTTCCTCAGCTAGGAAATTGAGATTAGCACCATCCTCTAGAGTTGGACAGGACTATATAGGGGAAATTTTTTACTTATTTTTTTAAATAAAAAAATGACCCCAGAGAACTTGGGACAAATTAAATTAAATCGAAATATATTTTATAGCAGAGGATCTCACTAATGGTAGGTGTGTTCCTTGTATTACTGGAAAATATCAAGATTAAGATTATTCATTCTTCCACTAGGCAAAACTATGCAAGTAATTTATTCTTAGTCTTGATTTATGGGGTGAACAGAATGATACTCAGTGCAATTCTGAAGTCATTTTTGGATGATATCCAGATTTCCACAGAGAAACTGGACCTTCCATGAAGTCATGGTACCAAAGAGACGGCAACAAACAGTTTCCATGGCAACACCACTTGGCACCTTTGCAGTTTCTTAGGAAACAAGAAAGCAACTTTCCTCAAAGGTCACTTCTAAACTGTCCCTTTGTTCCCTGATTGGACATATGAAGCCGGATAATACTTATCTAAGATTGGCAAGAGAACACTTCTGGCTCCATAATATACTTTCAACTGCCCAACTTGAGAGAATAGATCAAGGTGGCCTTTCAGCAACTGAGGAGAATGCCAGACATTGCTTTGAATGAAGGCCATTTTTATCAGAGCTTGAATAGCATATAATAAGGTTATAAAACCAATATGTTTTCTGGAGTACATATCTGTCTACAATTCCTTTTCTTAGCTAAATTCCTGCAGTTGTGCAGGCCGGGGGTCCCCATCTGAACCGTGGTGGCCATTACTGAACTGTGAGACATTCGAAACCAGGCCGTGGAAGTGGCGGGTGAGTGCGCACACACATGCGTGCATCTCCACTTGCATGAGCTGCGCACACACTTGCCAGTCACTTCTGCAGAACCATATCACTCTCCCCTTTCCCCACTGGTCTGCAAAGCTGTGAAGTTGGGGAACTCTGGTGTATGCATTTAATCCCCAAAATATACTATACTATAATATTTAATTATATAATATTTTATATAGGGCTGTTATAACTATTCTAGCATAGGGATTATTCCATTGCATTCCATTGTTATGTTATATGACTAATTATAATGGTTAAACATATTGGTTTTGGTGACTATTAAAATAAAATATATTTCATCAGGCCTTTGGTGAGGGAGAGTGACACCACTCGCTTCATTGCCCTTACTATCTTTTATCTTTGTTTTAATCAACTTTATTATTTCTTTCTTAGATTATTGTGAGCTGCCCAGATTTGGGCAGAATACAAGTTAAGCAAACAAGTAAACAAATAATATACAGACGCCTTGCCCTGTTAGCTGTAGAATTATTTGAGCTAGTCCCAAATATTAGGAATGCACTAATATTTTTCAGGAAGCTTTATAAAACAATGATGCCTATACTATGTGAACTGGAAAGGCTGTCCTCCATTCCTTTTTGGATATAAACTGAAACAAGAATGAAAATTCCCTCAGGAGCAAAAACATCCCTGATGATGGGCACAAAGCCCCAGTGTTCTATTTGTAACTCAACAGCATCACTTACAGGTAAAAAGGTGGAACTGTGTTTTTTCCTTTTTTCTTTTGTTCATTTGCACTCTAGCTGCGGGACTGTCTCAGACTTGCTCACATTATGAAATAGAGGTGGGGCAAGCTGTGATATGCATACATACATACACACATATATTATTTATTTATGTTCTGCCGTTCCTTCAACAACATAAAGTTGTGATCTTCCCACTTATTTTTCTCCACCAAAGCCCTTTGGGGGTTGATTGGGCTGAGCAAGAAGCAGCATCTGAACCCACCTAGTTGCGCTTCTGTGGTTGAGCTGGACTAGAATTGGGTCTCCTGTCTTCCACTCTGATGTCTTAATTGCTACACTACATTAATTGTTAACACATAGACTGCATGTGGCTCCCAATGCCCCATTTCAATCTCAGCAATGGTGGGATTCAGCTGGTTCACACAGGTTCAAGCAAACTGGTTGTTAAATTAACTATCAAAGTGGATCCCGGGTGCTGCGCTGCACTGCAATGAAGAAACGGGCAACAGAGTGGCTGGCACGAGGGAAGGCGAAGGCCGCTTTCCCTCTTTCTCCCTGCTCCTCTTCCTTTCCTTATGTTGCCCGTTTCTCCATTGCAGTGTAGTACCCAGGATCCACTTTGACAGCGGGTGGTTGTGGTAGATAATTTAACAACTTGTTCGCCCATGGTCAGGTTGGCCTATGCCTTCCATGACAGCCAATATGACTATGGGCAAACTGGTTGTTAAATTATTTAAATCCCACCACTGATCTCAGGGTGGAAAGAAACCAGTACGTTTGGTGCAGACTTCCTTATTAAAGAATCCCTGAACATTCCTGTATAAACACATCCAGTGAAGGAAGACCATTACCTCCCATAGTAGTTGGTTCCATTATTGAACTGTTTCCTTCAGATTTCCCTCTCCCCAATAACACTCAACCGTAGACTACTTTCCCATAATTTAAGATTATTACTAAATGTTCTGCTTTCTGGAATGATAGAAACTAGGTCTTATTCCTATGTGTGACATCCTTTTAAGTACTTTTAATGTTCTATCAAGCCCAACCCAATTTCCTCAGTTTCTTCTTGTATGTTTCCATCCCCAATCATCTTTGTTGCTTCTCTTTATATTAATTTCATTATTTTTTTCTCAAAATGAGGTGCTTGGAACCAAGCATATAACTTCAGACGGTTGCATAATTTTGGGTGTCGGGGTACTACACTAGTTATACCAGTGTTTCTCAACCTTGGCCATTTTAAGGTGTGTGGACTTCAGCTCCCAGAATTCCTTGGGTGGTGCTGGCAGGGGAATTCTAGGAGTTGAAGTCCACACCTCTGAAATGGCCGATGTTAAGAAACACTGTTCAAACCAGTTGTAGTACCCTTGTACCCAAAATAGTGCAACCAATTTTGATAATATTATGGAATATTTTTTAGGGTTTGGATTAGGTTTAGAAAATGGAAATAAAGAAGTGACACCACCATGATACTGAAAGAGATTGGGCTGTGTTCTTTGAAAATATGCCCTATTATTAAAACAAAACAAAAACAGACAGAATAACACCTGACTTTAAAAAGAACTAGGGGGAACTGTAAATCCTGAAAAAATATTTGATTCTACAAAGAGACTCTCAGATTAATCTCTATCAGCAAAAACAAATGATAGTACTTGTTACCTTAAGGACTAAATAATTAACTTGTTATCTCCAGGATGTCTGTGTTATTACCAATTACTTTTTTATGAATGACCATAGGTACTACTGTAATGATCATTGTATTTCCCAATATTTTATTTCACACTGATTTCTATCCACCCGCCCATCAGTGTATCTACCTATAACTCTGGGTAATTCTACGCAATTCTACTATCCAGCAGACATTAGTTTGTGAAATGTTATGGATTAATGAACATGCTAATTTCCAGTGTGCCATAAAACTTCCTGTGGTGCCATCTAGCCTGACGCTGGACACTAATCTTCATTAATGCAAGCTTTCCTAAAAGATTAGCAATAGAGCAACAAAGAAGAATATGCTGTGATGTATTTGTGTAATAATGGCAGAAGAAACAGCCACAGCTGTAAGTCTGTTTTCCCAATTTGTACCAGGCATAGGATTTTGGCTTCCATTTTTAAACATTTTTCAAGGTCAAAAGACCATCAATCCACCCACAGGAAAGATCTTCCCCTCCCCTCCATTGTGTGGTTATTGAGGGGTCCCTGGTGCTCTCTGAGCTTGGTTGTTTCCTGGCATTGCAGCGCACTGATGATGTTACCTAGTTTGGGTAATGAAACATCTGCAAGAAAACAACCAAGCTCAGAGAGCACCAAGGACCCCTCATGTCAACCCTGAGCTACAAATAATTCTCCTTTATCAGTACCTTGTAGCCTTGGATGTCTCCGTTCTGTGTCTCAGGAGGTGGTGGCTCCCAAGTAATGTCAAGTTGGGTAGCTGTGATGCTTTGGATGACTACATTTTGTGGCGCAGCTGTAGGGACTGAAGAAACCAAAGAGAATGAAAGTCAGGAATGCACTAGACCGAGAAACAGATACATGCCTCATACAATCAAATACCATGCTTTGGCCCTGGACTTGCTCATCTCGGGATCCCGGCCTGCTGGTATCCTCCTGGCAGCGTTGTCTTTATTGATGAAAGAATGGATCTTTTGCTTGCTACTGGTCAATTCTAATAGTTTCCCTAGCTGACCCAGATATCAGTAGCAATAGCACTTAGACTTATATACTGCCTCACAGTGCTTTACAGCCCTCATTAAGCAGTTTACAGATTGAGCATATTGCCCCCAACAATCTGGGCCCTCATTTTATCAGCCTCAGAAGGATAGAAGGCTGAGTCAACCTTGAGCCGGTCAGAATAGAACTCCTAGGGTGAGCAGTGAGTTAGCCTGCAATACTGTATTCTAACCACTGTGCCATCATGGCTAACCCTATCCAAAAGATCTATGATTTAACCCTGAGCTAATCCTGCATAACTCAGATGGGCAGGTAAAAACATGACATGGAGACCCAAAGTAGAAATACTTTTACAAATCATGCTTGCTCAACTTACCAGCCTCACCAACAAAGACCTCTTGGGGGGAACTGGTGGGCCCTTCACCCACAGCATTGTACACGCTCATGCGGATCTCGTAGCGACGGTGTTTGTTTAGATCTGTAAAGATGGAGAAAATCAGTGATCATTTAGGGAGCAGGGAGGAGAGCTCACTTAGGCTGCCTCCTTAGTAGCAGCACATACTTTCTGGTTAGCCTCCTCTCATTTTCCTCCCGCTATTCCTTGCTTGAGAACCTGGCTACAATGGCATGTCCTACTTTCTGTCCAATTTCTTGGAAAGATTGGAAAATAGAGGCAGAATATTGTTTTTGACTAAAAAATAAGTAAGCAGACACCAAATAAAGCAAGAACAAGATCTCTGGTTTTACTGCATGGTTTCTAATATATGAACTTTAAAGGGGGGGAAAAGCTTTTAATTATAGCTGTGTGTAAAAGTGCTATTTTAAACAATAGAAATAGAACTTAAAGTATTCCCAGGGCACTTCCTATTACCTCCATTCATTTTCACGATCCCTGGACCTCATTTCCTCATCCCTTTTTTCAATACCCCAAAGAGGAGGTTGCTTTCCTTTCTATTATTTCTCCATTTCATCCTACTACCATTACGATACGGAGCTGAATTGGAAATCCACTTTCCTGGATACGCTACTAAAAGCTATTGATCAGTGTGACCTACATTTGTCCCGTTACTTGAATGGAGTTCTCAAAATGGGTTTGGTTATGGTTATTTCTTGTAGTATTCTCAAGAAAATAGAGTTAATTGTAAGCCACACCTACTACTGCTAACTTTAGGGAAACATGGCCCTAATGCTCTTCTTCCAGGCATGCCGACTGCAATTTGCATCATCCCCAGCAATCCTGTGGCGAGCAAGAAAGGGTTGCTTCACGCACACACGATCCCAGAGACACAAGCAGAGACAGGAGTACAGGCCAAGGAGGGAGCTCCCACTTACTGTCCAGCTCGTATTGTGTCAGGGAAGCCTCGCTCAGGTTCCGCATGGCGTATGTTGCTGGTGGATGGCAGGGGGTCAGAAGGGGAAAGCAGTGCAAGGTTAGCTACATGGAAAGAAACATCTGGACAACACAAGCTAAACAAAGCAACGTCATTATTGTGCAAGAAAGAAAGCAGCTCGGGGAAATTCCCAGTCCAAGCAAAGGAATTTGAGGGGTCTCGTGAGAGGGTGGGGAGGGGGAGAGGAGAGGGGGAAGGGAGGGAAAGGTGATGAATAGGTAGAAAGGGAGGGATGATAAAGTTTCACAAGACAAACACAATTTCCCCATTATAGGCATTAGGATAGATTGGATATACATGCCCCATCATTTAGTACTCCATAAAAGCCTCTTCTGGCAACCAAGACCTTGAGCTGCTAAGGACTGATACACTGACACAAAGCTTGCAACCCCAGGAGGACCCAATACAACAATGCTCTGATGCAACAAAAGGCCATAACTGCTCCAGATATTCTCTTCAGGGGAAGTTTTTATGCTGAGTGTTTCTGCTTGTGCATTTTTGTAAATTTATAATAGAGCGCCTGGGTATATTTGCATTAGTATGTCACTGGAATGTCTGATCTATAACGTCTTGCAGTTCTTTTTACATAGCTGTTTTATTAACCAGTATAACACATACATGATTATATGTTGTATGTGAACCTGGGAGAATAGGTTTCCCAATTTTCAAAGCAGTGTTTTACGATGTATTTTAAGTTTGCTTGAAAAAGAGATTGTTTCAGACTGATGGATTAGAAAGAGGAATCCTGGACAGTACTGTTTTGGAATTGTGATGTGTATGCTGGATTTTTCGCTGGAGTTAGCATTTTCATCACAAAGTTCAATCATGTATTGCTCTAGGACAGTTTCTGGATTTATTAGCATTGGAGGAGTTGTTCTGTACTGACTAGAAGCCATATCATTGTAGAAAGTGTTTTGGGCAATCTTTAGGACCAGGTCTTATGAACAGCTTGCTTGGGAATGATATTGCAAACTCATTTAAAGGCAATCAGTACAGCAGCAGGACCGAGATCTGGTGAGCAAACTACATTCTGATTGTCGTTAATTCGTACATTCTCCCTCTGTAGACTTACGGGTCAACTCTGTCCACCTGGCATTGGGACTGCCCACACTACGGGCAATAAATCCTCGTACCCCTTCATATGGCAGCTCCCGATATCGGATGCGGAAGCCTAGCAAGATGCCATTGATTTTGTCCTCAGATGGGGCCTGTATAAGAAGACACAGTGAATGCAAAAATGACTCCTGGAAGTACAGAGTACCTGCTGCAATATCTCCAAATGTGACATTTCTGGGGGATGCTTTTGTACTTTCATGCAGTCCCTGCTAGCAGGATGGAATCCAGAAATATAGGCAGAAGATGCCTCAAAACTAAGGATCAGCAAGTCGAAATAATCTCACTATCCATTATGAATCCCTCCAGTTTTCTCCTGACCTCAAGCCTACATTCCACAAGTTGTTTTTCATAATTCTACTCTCAATGTGTTTATGTTACTGGTTCTCTGTCTCCCCCCACTATATACATGCCAACTAGAGTTCTCTATACACTGCAAAAGAGGATTGTCCTTTCCCATCAATCCTGGGGCACAAGATCCATTTATGGTGTTTTGTGTTTCAATAGCAAAGTCAACTACCCTACTACGAACACAGAACCTTTCTTTGTATTAGTTACCAGCTTAAGTAATAAAGTTAGGTGCGAGTAAATGAGGAACTATGATTTTGCTTATTCAAAATAAGTTGCAGTCCTGACATTTTTGTTCAGATTTACTTGTATAAGGTTGCATAACTGGAACTTCTGGAAAGCGAGCTTAGAGCACTGTACCAAAGATCATACAGTATAGTATAAGAAAAAAAAAACATTTCTTTAAAATGTGGGACTCCTTGAACATTCTGATTCTTTTATTCGGAGTTAACATGTGGAAATGAATGAAAGCATAGGCGACTCTACCTGCCAGCGGATCAACACGGATGTAGTGGTGTGTGGTGTCACTGACAAAATGGTGGGAGCTTCGTCTGGGGCTGAGGGGAAAAAAGAAATGCAAGTGAAATACTCAAGCTATTTTTTATGATTAAAAAGAGCATCAGGAAATGCTATGAAGTCATCATCTTTCACAGAAGTTTGAATGACAGCTTCTTTTTGGAGATGAAGATCAAGTGTGATTACAATTTCCTTCCAGATTGGAGGATACCATGATCCTAAAACAAGATGACTTTCTGGTGGAATACTTCACTAATCTGCAATAATGGATCCACTTCTGTGGTGGGATTGAAATATTTTTGCCACTGGTTCAGTAGGCATGGCTTTGAGCATGTACACACACTTTGCATGTGTGCACGTGCCAAACGTGCACTGTGCGCCAGTGCAGAGGCGTTCTAACTTGCCTCCTGCAAGCCTGCACTCTCCCGGTCACTTCAGCAGCTGCCGCGCAGCACTATTCTGTGGCGCGCAAAGCAGCTGCGCTTCAAATTCAGAGGATAAAGGTGAATATGGTAGCCTGGGTGGGTGGGCCCAACAGCAGAGCGGCAGAGAGAATTGGTTCGGTCTCCGTTGCTCATCCCCACTACCGGCTAGCCAGAACCGGGCCGAACCGGTAGAATGCCACCACTGATCCACTTGTAACAGGTTCATCATGGCTTTTTTTTTTTTTTTTACAGCCTCATCTACTGTATGCCTCTCTTAATTTGTTAAGGAACCCTCGTTTCTTTGGCTGCTCATTCTCTACATTAGTTTATAGCTTTATCTATGGCTTCTTCCATTATATTTTCTATTTTCAGTTTCTATTATAACTCTATTGCTTGTCTTAATTGTGCCCAACACTATTGTTTTAACTGAGTCCCAGATGTATCAACCTGCTCGGTTTGTCACAGCAGAAAGTTTTCCTCCCACAATAGCCAGCTTTATCTATGGCTTCTTCTTTTGTAATCTAACACAAACAAGGCCATTACCAATAAAACTTAAGAAATAAATCTACAACAAGGAAAAGATAGCAGGGGATCCGAATAGGGGTTTGATATGAGATGGGTTATTATACAAGTGGGAAACCAGATAGTAGAAAAGGGGCACCCCCCCTTCTTTATTCCTTCTTAGACCTGGTTTTGTTTTGTTTCTTTTGTCTAGTGGTAGAGCTAGTAGATTTTGAAGATGAGATCTTTTCAGACAGCCTATGCGAAAGATAATCGGGGTTCCCAGGACTGCAACAATGCCCTCACTGAGTTCATATTACCTTTTATAATTCTCTTCTCAAGATTGGAAGAAAAAAGGTTTTACACTGGGTAGTAATTCATGACCTTGCATGTTTGCATACCAGCCTGCAGTGTAGTGAGCGATTCTGACTCTTCACTGTATTCACTGTCACCGATGTCATTGGTTGCCTTGACCCGGAATTTGTAGGTGGTGAATGGCTTCAATCTGCAAATAGAATGCAGGGTTATCTGGTTTGGTTTTGGAAGAAAAAAAAATTCCCATGTGTGTTGGCTGTCTTCTGCCTGCTAAGACCTACATTCTAACTTTGGGGGTTTTTTTGTTTTGTTTTTTTGTCCCAAGACCAGCAAATTCTTCCTAAGGTCTTTGGAAAAGCATTCTGGATGTAGCTGTGGGATTCAACATATTTAGTCCTGTTTCTACACTTAGGAGTAATTTATGAACATTGAGTCCAGACTGGGAGGCCACCCTTTACATGGAGTCCTTGACTTATGACCGATTAGGAGCAGAATTTATGTTGCTAAGTAAGGCAATTAAGTGAGTCCCACCCTGATTTTATTACCTTTTTGGCCACAGTTGTTAAGCAAATCACTGCCATTTTTAAGTGAATCAAATGGTCGTTAATCAAATCTTCCCCAATTGGCTTTGCTTGTCAGAAGCTGTCTGGTGAAGGTCACAAGCGGCAACCCCATGACTCTGTTGGGAGTTGACATGTGTGACACTGCAGTCGTGCTGGTTGCCAAGTGCTTGAATTCTGATTACGTGACCATGGAGAATGCTGAGACAGTTGTAAGTGTGAGGACCACTCACTTTTTTCAGGGCCATTGTAAATTAGAATGGTTGTTGAACAACCATTGTCAGTCAAGGTTTACCTGTATACAGTCTTAAGATTATTTGGCTAGCAACAGTCTGACAAATTGGAACGCTGAACAACTGTTTCCCCTTCTAAATAAATGTCTCTTGCATTGAATCAGTTCCTGCCTCACCTGTTCACAATGAAGGATGTGGTGTTGTGCTTCACTGACGCAGAATGCAACACCCATTTCCCATCAGGGAGTTCTCGTGTTTGCACAGTATAGTATCGGACAGGTGAGAGCCCATCACTGCCTGGCTCCCAGGACAACAGCACGTTCCTGGCCTTGACATCTTCCTGCAACACAATGGGCTTGCTGGGTGGTTGCGGACGGTCTGGGAGATAAGACAGAGACAGATCATTGAAAGCTGGTTTTTCAGTGCATGAAAAAGAGACATGGCAATGATAGGTGGCTAGGCCGGAGATTATTTTCAGGTTGGTACAATTTAGATTTATTAATCTAAACATGTATCTTTTCCTTCTGTACTCCGTCTCAAACATTATCTAATTGGTTTTGATGTCTAGTATATTCACCGGTTTCCTACAAACCCTAGTTTCCCATTTTAAAATGTTGCTTCTGTGCGATCACAGATGGTCTGTCCATTCTTACAGTTTATAATGGTGTTTCCAACACCCCTCCTTAAAAAAAAGAAAGAAAGCACAGTGTATTAACACTATGAAAACAGATGGGTCTGGATGACCATTCTGAAAGCAGAGCATAGTTGACAAGGTTTCAGGATTAATAAACAAAAGGCACGGAGTAATACAGGCAGTGCTTGACTCATGACCACAACTGAGCCCAAAATTTGAACTGTTAGGCAAGATAGTGGGTTTTGAACCATTTTACAACCATTCTTGCCATAATTGTTAAGTGAATCATTGCAATTGTTAAGTGAATCACTGTAGTTGATAAATTAGTAACGTGGTTGTTAAGTAAATTTGGCTTCCCCATTGACTTTACATATCAGAAGGTTGCAAAAAGGGATCCCATGATCCCAGGACAGTGCAACCATTATAAATACATGCCAGTTGCCAAGTGGCTACATTTTGATCATGTGACCATGGGGATGCTGCAATGGTCATAAGTGTGAAAACTGGTCTAAAATCACTTTTTCTCAGTGCCGTTCTAACTTCAAATGGTGACTAAATGAATTGTTGTAAGTTGAGGACTACCCGTAACAATTTGGGTGGTTTTTAAGAAAAATTCATACTGAGTTTCACAAAGAACCCTTTGCTTATAAGGTGCAGCAGAGTTCGTTCAACTGCTTAAGTAAGAAGAATGAGAAAATATTAACAAAATTAATGTAGAGAAATGATGATCAGTTCAATCATCATTAACAATACTACAGGCCTATTAAATGAATGCCTTTGATATATGGCCATTGATATTCTATAAAGCTTTTACTCCTACTACAGTTCTTAAAAGATGAGCACCTGGGGCATATTTTTCCTGGAGTCTGAAAGAAAATGAGTTTTCCTTGAAAACAGGCTCATTATTAGAAGAAAGACTGATGGGTTTTCAGTAATAATTGATAATTTATTGCAGTTGTCTGCAAATGCCTTAATAAGAATCTGATTTGTAATATACAAATTACCCATTCATATTTTTTAATCATCTACTTAATGGATTGTTATCAGTGCTGAACCCAGAGAATTTTGGTTTGCTTTCTTGTGGAATACTAATGTTTGCCTGCACCTGTTACTTAAGAGACAGCCATTCACATGTAGATCTCCTGAAGGCTAACCTTCTAATTTGTCAGGAAATCCTTAAAAGCAGAAACATTTTGCAGAATTAAATTGAAGGCTTAAGGCCCAATTGGACGTCAGTCTTCACTTATTGAAGATAACCTCCAAAGGCTGAGACTTTAAAGCAAGGGGAAAAAATGTAACGTTGCTTCTTTCTCTCTTTTCATCTTAAGCTATGCCTTCCTTCCTTGAGGTATTTATCTGTCCAACAGCACCTCCCTTCTCTCAAGGTGTCTTCCATGCACAGAAATGGAATTTATACGTAGCTCTTCTGTCTTTGAAGAAAATGAATAGTGATTTGTGGGAAGTGGTATAAGGAAAGGAAATGTCGAGTAAAAAAAATGGCTGAAAATAAAAGGATTAATTGCAATACCAATTTGCTACTCAGACATACACTGCCTTAAGATAATTTTTAATATAGTCCTCGTGAGCCTGGGCAAAAGCTACCACACCTAAAGATTAAAAAAAATCACGTAAGCAGGATGGATAAAAGCTAGGAATCTTCTTTGAAATATCCCTTCAAGAGATAGACAAGAAGGAACCAGGTTGTTAAGGAAACAAAGGGGAAAAAAAAGTCACCCAAACCAGACAAAAGAAGTTGGGCCTGAGCACATGTGAAAACCTTCCCCAAGTCCCATCAACAGTTACCAAACATATTCAATAAGGCAAGAATAGCTGCCAATCTTGTGAATCTACAAAGCAAGGACTTTTGTAGACAAAAGGGGTCCTGAAGCCTGCCCATTCTTTGAGTCTCCTTTGAATCCAGACTTGGCAGCTATTGTCCCTCTGAATAGTAACTGACAGCCTAATTGAGAAGGATGCTCAGTCTGTGTGTGGGTGTGAGTGCGTGTGTAAGAGAGAGACAAGAGACAATGACACAGAGAGAGCACGCAAATGCACATTGTAATCAATAAAGTTTTGCTGTTACTTTAAATTCACTGGTTCTCCATGTATTCCAAAGAACTGGTTGTGCCTTGGTGTTGTGCCGAAAGTGATTTGAGTGTGGCTGTTGACCAGGGCTGTGAGTGTGTTGAGTGAATGACCATATGTCAAACCTGGGAGTGCACCTGTATCATTTTATGGTGTTAACATCCTTAGGAACAAAAATGGATTCACTGGGAAGACATACCTAATTTTTGTCAAAATGCAATTCGGGCTCAACTTATATCCCACCACCCTAATTACCTCTTTTTTCTGTTGTGACTACTAAGGCCTCTGCAGCTTCACCCCAGCCCTTTCGGGTCTGCGCTGTGATACGGAAGAGATAGGTGGACTCGGGTCTGAGGTTGGTAGCAGTAAACTGCCGTGCGCTGGGGCTGAGGACTTCTACGTTGGCTGAATTGGCAGTTGTAGTATTGAGGCGGTAAGTGATCTGGTATGCTGCAACGGAGTCAGAACAGGACTGGGTAAAAAAACTGAGGTCCAGACAGAAGAAGAACATCATGGCTTCAAAATCCAAGGGTTTGGTTTGGATAAAACTCAACAGCACTTTTTCGTGAGGCTGTTGTTAAAAATAGGATCATCAATCAACGTCCAATGACAGATATGGCACAACAACAACAAGAAGAAAATGTTCTGCAAAAAAGAATACTGTCCTATATAGCTGTCTTTGGGGCAGACAAAGAAATAACTCTCCCAATGGAAATAGATTGCAATCATGGGAGTAATCACAGAACAAGAGTCTGGCCCAGAGGTTTGAAGTAGGTTTCCCTTTTTTTACCCCGCCACAATTTTTTTGTGGCCCTGTTTGCTCTTCAGAAAGACAAAAATGGGAGAAGCTGAAGAATTCAGCTCATTCTGGACTACTGTGTCTTACCTAGAATAATACCATTGGGAGCAGCGGGAGGCTGCCAGATTAGCCGTACAGAAGTTATTCTCACTTCAGGGAAGAGAATGCCCACCGGTGGCCCCGGCACTGGAATACATCAAGGCAAAGGACAATGGAAGATTAGGTTGAGTGATTCTGGTATATGTTTATTTATCCATACAGGCTGTGACTGAAATGCACATACAAGCACAGATACACACAATCGATGCTACCTGAGACTAATATCTGTATTGTTTTTTTTAGGGGAACATGACGCAGGGTGTTGGGACGGGGAGTTGCTTATAATGCAGGATCAAGAGTTTATAATGATAGTGACAATGCACTTGACAGAAGTCCAAGCTGTCTGCCAGCAAATGTTGGGTTCAAAAATCGCAACGTGCTAGGTGGGATGGAACCCAGTTAATATTACAAGGATGTAAAATGAAGTTAATGGGGGACATGCAGAGAGGTGAAGGAAAATTGTACTCTTCGACAGATCACTGAGAAATGCACACAGGATGCAGAAGGAAATTTACTGTATGTTTAATAATTTAGAGAAAGGGTATGATTAGGGCTTGAATTGTTGAATATTCTAAATGAAGATGGTGTTGATGTTTGGTTGCTAATCTTTTTTAAAAGTAAGTATAGTTAAGAGACAGAGAGTTATGGGACGCCTACCATCATCCAGTGTGCGCTCAAGTATAGGTGGATTGCTGGGCACACCATCACCAATGCGGGTGAAAGCAAGCACCCGGATCTCATAAAGGACATATTTTCCCAAGCCTATGAGCTGGGCACTCCGAGAAGCATTGCCTTCCACTAACCAGAACTGAGCCCTGGAATCTGAATCCTTTTCCTTATACATGATCTGGAAGAGAATTGTTTAGTTTAGTTTAGTTTATTGTCATTGCACCTCGTACAACGAAATCAAGCACCATCTTCAGTGCAAAATCATGACCATGAAAATAAACACAAACACACATCCTTCACCCTCCACACATTGAAACGGAAACCCCCGACACCGCACCAACACTGCACTATACAGCAGAATTCAAAAGAGCTACTGCCCTGGGATAGAAGCTGTTTTTCAGCCTATTTGTCCTTGTTTTTATTATTCTGCACCGTCTGCCAGATGCTAATAGTTCAAAAAAAGGGTTCCCAGGGTGAGATGGATCTTTGAGAATGTTTTGAACTTTCTTAAGGCAGCGGGAGCTATAAAGCTCTTCCAAAGAGGGGAGAGGGCAACCAATGATCCTCTGGACAATGACATTAATCCTCTGGAGTGCTTTCCTATCTGCCACTATGCAGATAGATGCACCAGTGATAAAAATAAAGGCAAACATTCCCCTCTCCCCCAGTGCTAATCAGGGGACCGTTATTAACAGGCATTTGTTCCTGTAAAATTGATAGAGTGAGAGCCCTGGATAAGAATAAGGCATGCCATGAAATAGAATTTGAGGGGGGAGGGGAATGAGGAGGAGGAGGAAAGAAACAAGGCTATTTTGTGGGAACACAATAATTAAAGACTGAAAATAAAAAGGTTCACTAAGGATTCCTCTACAATAGCAGGGTCTGCAAGTACAGATTCAGGATCAAGCTGGAAGAAAGAGAATAAGATTAGGTGTGGAGGAATATGATGCTTTCAGTCAGGTCTTGGCAGTAAGGCACAAGAGAAAGCAAGTAGGAAGGGATTACCAAATCAAGTTCTGTATGTTTAATACCTTGTAGCCTAGGATAAATCCATTTCGATCCGCTTCAGGGATGTCATTCCACCGCACTAGCATAGAGGTAGAAGTGGTAGCTAGTGCTGAAATATTGGTGGGTCCAGATGAAGGCACTGCATACACAAAAAATACAGGCAAAATACACATTGCTACATTGTCCAGAACCTCACGTGTTAAATTCCAAGCAGGCAGTGATAAGCCTACCAGGTTGTCTTAAATAGCTGGAGTGGAAAGGAATACCTGACTCTCGTGTTCGTCCCACCACAGTCTGACTCCATGGCCCAGGCCCAACCGCATTGAAGGCCTGCACCTGTATACGGTACTCGGTCCATTCCTCCAGGTCCTCAATGGTGAACTCGCGCTCCACACGGTCATGGATGGTGTTGGTCAGCGTGTGGCTGCGCCCATCCAGGCGTGAGTAGCGCAACCGGTAGCCCACCGACTCAGGGCTGCCATTGTATTCACTCTCTGGCAGTGGCTGAGAAAAGAGTTGGCCCATTACTATTGGCCGGCATTCTATTCTTCTCTAGAATGGCTACATCAAACAGGGCAACATCTTCCCTACTCAACTGAAGAGCTCCTAGCCTTTGTAAAACAGGTACAGTTTCAAAGGCTACCTTAGAGGCTGCGACTTTTATGTACAAATGGCCAAATTTCATTATTTAAAATTGCCTTGTAACTTTTTTCAATTGAAATGATAAATACAGAAAGTGGGCTTCCAGCAAGTTCATTAAAAAAAATCAGAATGCATGAAAAAGAGAGAAAAGTTTCCTTTTTTGTCTCATAAGGAATGCATATGGAATAATAATAAATTTGAACCATAAGGTTTTGAATTCTAATTCTTGTGCTTAATAGAAAGCCATCTAACTTCTGAAGTCTGCTACCTCCAATACAGATATTGCTGAAAGTTTCTGATTTGGACTTAAGAACTTCCAATATAGTCTCAGCAGATGGTAGCATCTGTCTGATCGTATCATATCATTCCAAGAAGAGCCAAGGAAAGTTCAGTGGCAAACGTTTTGCATGTTCGTATTTCGATGTGAGATCTCCTTGGCTAGACCGGGAAATTCAAAAACATTTTGGCAAAAGTGGTTACTAGCCATTTCCATAACAGTCATTTCCATCAAGAAAAGTACATGAATACATCCATAAAGTCACCACATTAGACTTCTGACATAACTGAAACCTTAATTCTTTCACTGAATTTAATTTGGTAGCCTCTCAGTCTTAGACAAGGGCTGGTCTTAAAATTCTTGTTAGGGGCGGCAAGAATTTTATGGCATGAGGAAATTATAATTTTGACTGAGGGAAATGGGACATGGGTAAATGTATATGTGTTGATTCAAAATTAGGCCTTATTCAAGCTGATGTCTCAGCTGAAGTCTTCTACCTCCAAAACTATCTAGCATGGGAGTGAAGGAAGAACAGCCAATGATACCCCTTCAACTCTCCTCCTTCTGACTTTGATCTATGCTTCATTTCCCACCCCTTAGTTCTTCCCTTGCTTACTGCCCAATACCCCATCCCTTTCCTTCCCTGCACTTCCAGAATCCTCTAATTTACCACAGCATGATAAACGACAGAAAGGGTGAAGCTGTATTTCAATTGCTCAATATTTCATTATAGCAATATCGCCAGTTTCTGATTCAGCCTCAATGTATTCTTAGCCTCATAGGAATCTCTCTACTAACCTTGAATTCAAATTTACTACTGGAACAAACTACTGAAGTTTGTCTGGCTCATTAGTAAGGGTGGCCAGCCTGCTGGGATTTGCCCCTTCTCCCCTGCTTTGTTATCGTCTGCTTTTTTCCCCCTCTAGAAACAATTATAGGGCCTCCTTAGACTACATTTCTCACCATCCATCGTAGCCAGAGGCTGGTTTCACTGGCTGTTCGTACTGTAATATTGGCAGGAGATACATCAGGTGGAGCCTGCAATGTCTGGATCCTGCGGGAAGCTAGGCTGGGTGGACTTGTCCCCACAATGTTCACTTGTCGCATCCGGAAACTGGCGCCAGAGAGGAAATGGATTAATGTTGGAAGGGAGAAGAGCATAGCAAATCCTCCAAGATTTTGAACTTCCACATTCACATGCCTTTGGCTGCCTTTTGCTTTATTTCCCCCCAGTTCCTCTTAATTTCAGTGCAGGAGCCACAATAGGTAATATGTAAGAACATACAAATATGTAATGCCCTACAAGCAGGGGTTGGATTCTACTGGTTTGGCCTGGTTCGGCTGAACTGGTAGCTCCAAGGATCAGCTGTGAGTGAACCGGTTTGCTCCGATGATTAGCTGTTGGGCCCACTCACCCACCCCATCTCTAGTCTATGCTTTATATCCTGGTTTTCAAGTTCAGCTGATTCGCATGGCACAGCTGATTGCCACGCACCAGCTGTTTAACACACAGAGATTGCTGGAGAAGGTCAGTGGCAAACGTTTTGCATGCATGCGAAGCACATGCTCACCGAACCAGTTGTTACACAAGTTGAATCGCACCCCTGCCTACAGGTGTGTTTTCATAAAGCCCATATCTGAAGGAAAAAAGATATTATGTGGGGATTGGGCTACATGTTCTAAACTGTGTGTGTTGGGTTTTCCAAGAAAACTTTAATGGAGAATAGGTCTATCCACAGGCTTTAGCCATCGTTTTCTTATGGAACCTCCATGTTTGGTGGTATCAAGATGAATTTCAGGAAGCGTCAGAAAGGTTTTTGTCTTGAACCCTATTTGGGTTTTTTTTTTTGCTTAGTTCTGACTGGGCTTTATGAAAAGATTGATTTTGATCTTCCTCTTCTTTATATTCTCATCATCACTGTCATCATCACCATCCTTGCTCTTGTCTCCATTGCCATCACCACCCTTGCCTTTCTTGCCCTATGCAACTACAGTAATACAACAATAGGTAGCTTGATTGGGATCAGCATCTTTCCCTTTTTATACCATTTAATTTTTTTTTAAAAAAATAACTGTATCACATTAAACCAATTAACAGAATACAATATAAATATATACAAGTGTTAAAAAAACAAGGACCTGAAAAATTGTGTTGTAAGTAGAACAACTCCCAACATTTTGACCATATTGTTTGAAAGCCGTCTTCCTTTCTTTGTCAGAAAAAAAATTCTAATGAAACTATGGGCAAAGAATGCATTTCGGTAATCTATTGCTGCAAATCACATCTCCTTCCAATGACGGATGAAATTTTTTAGCTTTTTCCTTTTTCACTTGACTCACCTATAATATGTGTAGGGATTGAGATTGGGCACCTCCATGGACCGAGCTTCTGGTTCATTAGAAAGCTGGTGGATGAGCAACCACTCTTCATTCTCTCCAGTCTGACCCATCTGAAAGCAACCAAGACAGAATAAAATTGGGAAAGTACGCTATTGCCTACTTCCCTACTGAATAGGCAAAAAAATGAGTTAACTAACATAGTAATATTTGGTATTTATGTTCTTAGGAAATGGAAAGCAAGATTGCTTTTATCTAAAAGTAAAATAAATATTTGGACAAGGTTTTGTAAAAATCACAATAGTTAACTTGGAAGAATAAATCATCTCATTATTTGTTATTCTTGTGTTATTATGTTGTTAGTCTTCAAGCAGGAAAAATGCATACACATGGAATACTTACACACACAAAAAAGTACATGCACACAAAAAAGAGAAGAATAAATATATCACAATGAAAAGCTCTTTAGGTAATACATTGGCCCTCCCAGCTATCTTTGCTTTCACTTAGTCACTGAGATTTCAAAAGGATTGCTCCTTTTCAAATCAAGGATTTTCTGCTAGAAATATTTTTAGAGATGATTATTTTTGGAGATGATTAGATGAGATCCCTGTATAAATATGTATGAAATACCATTCTGTCTATTGCTTCTATGACCTGATATCTCTATTTATTGTTTCCCAGATATACTAATTCCCAAATAGTATGCTTCCCCCTTTATTTTTGCCCTCAGCCACTGTGGTATTTGGCCGAACTAAGTTTTCTGAAATTAAGCAGAATAAAGGCATGCAGCTCTCCCCCACCTCCCTCTCCCTCTCCGTGTGTGTGTGTGTGTGTGTGTGTGTGTGCTTAAGTCTTATTTTTATTTGAGTTTGTAGATTTTAAGTCAAAACATTTACGTGATGTGCAATGAGAGGGCTTCTTCTTCAACTTTCATACAACAGCTTGATGAAGAGCTATTAAAGGGATAAGGGATAATTAAATTTCAGCTGCATTTTTACCAGCAAATGAGATGTACCTTACCTGAACCTCTACCTGCCACCTGGAAATGGAAGTCTTCCCATCATAACCAGGGCGAAACTGAAGTGTGACTGAACGGGGACCAATGTTGGATATGCCCAAATTAGTTGGGGACCCAGGGAGCTCTGTGAACAAGAGAAAGCAGACAACATAGAACTCATTAGCCATAGCATAAACAATACCCATTGACCCAGCTATACTACATACAAAATGAAAATGGCATCTTGCCCATTGTTTGTACTGATAATTTATTTTATTAGTCATGTCTTCTCCACTCTGTTGCCCACCAAATGGGTGGCTTTCTACAGTCTTTCTTTCCTATGAACCTGGCTAACGAAAGTTGAAGTAACATTTCAAAGATACTAACTGAACTAATCTAAAAAATGTACTAGGAGCAAACATAATGTGCAATTTGGTAAGAATAGTAAGAGGGAAGACTGGACCACACTTTTCAAAAAGAATCTCTAAGGTAAAAAGAAGACAACCAACATAGAACCAGCAAATTACATATGCCATACATCATAACATAAAGATGAAGTTGCCATCTGTATCAGATAATCAAATATGGTTTTGCTCAAGTGGGCAAGGTGGGGTAGGATGCAGTAGGTTAGAAAAAGAGTTTAATGCTTGTGTAAATACATGTCACCTCTAAAGATTAACCTCTTATTACAATATTTGTTGAGATCTTAGCTATAGAAACCCCAAAAAGGCCAATTCTAAACCTAGAGTTTGGTGAGTCAGGCAGTATGCAAATTCTTAGTCAAATAAAAATAAATAAAATGTGAAGAGGCTATAGAACCTTGTTTACTAAAAATCTTGGGCTTCAAGGAAACCACTGTTTCAGTGAAAGTGTCCTAAGATGTTAGGGAAGTTGAGAAGTCCTACAAATAGCTTTTGGCACATAGTCTCTATGCCCTAGAATGCATCACTTTATATAAGTTCACAGAATCTGATTACATTTGTGCTCATACTTAATGGGTAATAAAACTATTTTCTAAGAATAGGTTGGTTCAAGAAGAGACAACCTTGAGCCAAGAAGACTCAGAGAAGAAGCATTGATTCCTGTCAGGGAGGGAGAAGGTTCTCAAGAGTTAAGTCAAGAAAGCAGTACAAGTTCTAGAGGACTAGAAGCATCCAAATCTCCCTAACAATTACTAAGATGTTGTCATTGCCCTTATCTCTTGCTTGCACCTGGCTAGTCACTGCAGAAAATGAATCCAGGAGTAAATAGGCCTTTGGTCTGGTCCAGCTGGAAGAATTAAGCATCCTTCTCTTCTGCCTGTAACTCCACAGACAAGATTGTTTATTAGAGCAGTGCAATGGTTTAGATTCAGTTTGGAAGAGGTGCTTTGGAATGCATGGGAACATGAAAGCAGCATCTGTCTACAACTTGTTAAAGCTTTTGTATCTCTCCAAAGCATTGGCGCCTATGAGTTACATGACATGCATATTGTGTGTTGTTTGTTCCCCAAGCATCAAGACCTGCCAACAGCAGCAGATAATCTAAATGACCCGAACTTTAGCCCACAGCCAGGAAACAAGGAATAAACAACAAACAGCTTTTGGTGACTGACATGGTGGCTTATTAATGATGCATTAAGTAGGATCGCCACCTACTTGGCGCAGGCTTGATATTGGCACAGGCTTCAAACAAATATCTAAAGTGATTTGAATATTCATCAGATTCAAAACTTCCATCTCATGAAGGTCACCAGGGGAGCTGACAGTGTTGTCTGTAATTTCATATTCATTACTTTGATGTTTGTTAATTTAATAATGCTGAAGCTTGAGAGTGGTTGCTTGTTGTCAGACTGTGATAGGCATGTTATGTGCCTGAATAAACGAAGCACACACACTCAAATTAATTGAATTACTGAAAAGAACAAATATTGAAATTAACTGAGATTGACAAAGTCAAAGTTCAGCCAGGCAAACTGAATTAAATCAGATATGGAATATTATATACTTCAGAAAATGCACCTTCAAAGCTGCACAAGAAGGTAAGAAAAGGCAAGAGGAAGATTCATTCTTCATTAAGGGAAGAACACAATACCTTAGACAAGGTTTGTTCCTTGCTAAATTTTGTTATGCAGTACAGCAGAAATTTTCTGAAAAAAAATTGTCCCCTTATGAAGATTCATTGTAATCATTTGTAATCCTGTCTTCCTTTAACATGCCTTGAAGTTGCATTTGTACTTCTGAAGGTCCAGGAAATCATGATGTCTATTTGCTTAGTGTTCCATACTGATGCTCCTCAAAGCCCTGGTTAAGAGTTCAATTAGGGAAATTTCCTAAAATAGCTGAATCGGTTTTGAGCACTCATATCGGACCTCAGGTTTACTCTCTTGGAGAAGAAGACATTAGTCTTAGTAATTTTCACAGCAGGTACCAATAGATTCCAAGACAAGACAGGTTAACAGCTTGCAAGATGCTAGGATCTGTATGGATAGTATACAGACTAGATGCAGAATTGCTCTTCAGAATAACTGCCAGGAATAAAAAAAAAAATCCCAACTTTTCAGTACTGGGAAAAAGTACATCTTCTCTATTTGTATTTATCTTTTGGACAACTGTCCAAAAATATATGTGGAAGGGGGACAGAAAGGGTAGTAGAGAGAGATATCTTTTCTGTTGTCAGCTCTTCCCTTTTTCTGAAAATCAAACCCTTAACCAAGAAAAAGGTAAATTGACCGTTGTCAAAACATTCCTTTTCCTTACAAATAAACATTGAAAATCCACAAGGAAAATTTGGGCAACTATAGTTTTCACTAAATGATTAGTTGAAGTGTATCATATTCTATTAGGATTCTCCTTGTAACTTGAAATATCTAGATTGATCGGTTTCTCTCTGTATTTATTATTGGGCTTGTAATTCATTTGTATGTACAGCCACCTTTTCAGTAATTTCTATCATAAGTTCCTGTCAAATGCATCCATACATTGGTGATAAACAAAGATTTGTCCCCTATATGTATTCTTGTAGAATTTTCATTCTGTGCGAAAGGGCACAGACCGAGGGATCTCTGCTAAGCCTGGCAATGAGATACTAATTGCTGCAGGAAGACCAATAAATCAAGCATACCTGGGGGAACCCCAGAAGAAATGGTAGAGGAAGCAACCTGTCCTTGTCCCTTGGATGTCATGGCTGCCACTTCAATAGTATAGGTGGTCAAAGCAGTGAGGCCAGTAACACGATACTCCAGGGTGACATTGGGGAGGTAGTGTGTAACGCGGGTGTTCGTGCGGTTGTATTCCTCCCAGGAGATTCGATAGCCTAAAAAAAACCCCCACAATTTATATAGGTACATAGCACTACACATTTCATATTCCTAGCCAGGATACAGACAAAACAAACCTAAATAACTCAGTAAAACTTTTAAAATCTACTTATTACAAGCAGAGAGAGAGGGGAGCTGCATGATTTTCCCAGAAATAGATATCAAAATCTGGTTCCCAAAATATTTATGATGAAAATTTCCCTACAGCTACTAATTTTATCCTTAGATCCTCAGCAACATTTTTATTCTACCCCATGTGTTCTCATCATTGCCATCCTAAACATGGACAGGGGAACCACAAAAATCAGGATCTAGCACAGGGGTGTCAAACTCGATTTCATTGAGGCCACATCAGGGTTGTGTTTGACTTTGGGGGGGGGGGGACTGTGGGGAAGTGGCCAGGGTGGGCATGGCCAGCTTGATGCCACCTGTGTTAGAGGCATCTGTGGTGGCTCAGGTGCTAAGGCAGGACTTGCTAGCCCTCTGCCAGCAAAAACGGAGCTTGGGGGATGGGCACAGGCTAGATCTAAGCACCCTTTGCGTTTGACACCCCTGATCTAGCTAATGCCCCGTCTCTTGTCCTTGTATCTCCATGTTTCTTTGCCTGGGGAGAGAAAATAAAGTTGAAATCTGTTCTGTTTAACCCAAATGAAATGTAGGCAAGGCAGCATGGTAATTTGACTTCTACTTCAGCACTTTCCATAAAAACTGGTGCCTTGTTTTGAGCTGGGCAAGGAGAAGAATGGACAAAGGGAAAGCTTCTGGCAATGGGCAATCACCTACCCAATAACTTAAGTGTTAATGCTGCAGAACTCTTCTTACAGGAGTCCTTTGGATGTGGCACATCTGACCAAGAAGTCATGTTTAGGTACAGGAGTGTTACAGAAGCCCATAAAATTCTGGGGACAGATGGCATGCAGATTCTGAACTGATATAAAAGCTATACGTGGACCTCAGCACTGAACTTTATATAGTTTCCAGCTGTAACCTTTTTAACTAGTTCATTATCTTTTGCTGATGGTAATACATCCTCAAGATATATTAATCACCTCTACAGAAATTTACCAAAACATAATTATAGAGATGTGCTGTGTTGGAGGTGGTTGATTGATGGGAGACAAAAGTCCACCCCTAGACCATCTGTGCTCTTGGTTTTAATATTTTATTTAATTGTTGCTAATCTTAATTTAATTGTTTTAATGTTTTTATACCTATGCTTTTATTCTGTTGTAAACTACCCGGAGTTACTCAGGTCAGTGAGATGGGTGTCATATAAACCTAATCATAAAAATGAATGAATGAATGAATGAATGAATGAAGCCTCACAGATGAGCCTCTTAATCTGGAAGTTTATCTTCTTACCTGTTAAGATGCCATTCTTTTCCAAGGGCTCTTGCCAGCTGACCTTCAAAGATGTGTCTAAGATCTCATTGAAGCTGAGATGTCCCACTGGACCCGGAACTAGTCAAACAAAGAATCCATCAGCCAGAAAATTACAACTGAACAACCATTCTGTCCATTCTTCAAAAGGATAAGCTATTGTTCCCGACTTTCCAGAGGAATACATTAAGCCTCTTTGGAAATGGATGGAAATTTAACTGCGGTAAGCATCAGGGCCTTCAGAGAAATATGGCAGTTTCACCAATCAAAAGCTAGACCTTTCAACTGAGGCAATAACAAAATTTCTGCAATGGAGGAGCGTGTTTAACACATGCTGCCTGGTGTGTAAGGAAAGTGTGGGCCCATAGTTAACACACATAGAGGAATCCAAGAGCTGGGCCTTGCCCAGCTCCAAAGGGAAAGGCCGTACCGTCCTCATGGGTGCGCACCAGCTGTGGTGGGCTGCGGGGTCCATCGCCTGGAGTAGTGAAACATAGGACTGAGGTGAAATACTCGGTGAATTTCTTGAGACCTGAGATATAACCAACATGGATATTGTCTTGGAAGTTAGGCCGTACTGTTACCACGGTCATATCTTCTTCTTGTACTGGTTCCCAGGCAATCAGCTGAGAGAAAATGAATATAATCATGGTTTGATCAGATTAGTCTAGGTAAATATGTTGCACGAATGCAAGAAATAAGTAATTAAACCTGCCAATGAAAAAAATTAATTCAGGAAGAAAGTTTATTTAGGAATGGCAAACAGCACTACTTAATTAAGTGAAAAAAGAAAGTCGAATGAAAACTTTTTTTTCTTCCTAGGTTTAAATTTTTTTTGAGATTTTATATGGGGATGTTACTTTATTCTCTACCCGAACAGCCCACAATATACGGTGCCCTTATGCAGAGAAATATTTTGTAAAGGTGATTCAGATGAAACAAATGGAGAAAATGGAACAGATGTAAAACTGAGGAGCTGAAACATATGGAAAGCAAAATAAATATTAGTTAGTATAAGTGGAAGAGTTACTACTCTGGCAGTTTCAGGTAAGTGGACTTGAACCTGGGCCAAGAAATTAATTTGAGTAAACATCTCAGACAAGCCCCTCCCAGTTCACCCAAAGGTAGAAGGATAAATGGGAAATCACATCCAGAGTTGCAGAATTTTACTGGAGCTGTTACAATAAAAATAGTCCTAAATAGCATTACTTTCTTAATCTGATCTAATTTATAGAGTTGAAAGATCCTCAGTAAAGCTTCCACATTTCCTCATGCTTCTTATTAAGAATTTGTGAGCAGATGGTTAAAATGCTACTTTCAACATTTTTCTCTTCTGACCTTCAAAAGTATACTGGACTGGTTGGCTGGTCTCAAAATTCTCAGATAGGATTCTTCCTCTTGCTTATTAGGGATGAACCATTTTGTAGGCTGTCCTGAAGAGCAACTAGACAAACAGCACTATGGCGAAAAACTGACAGGCAATGCACCATGATTCATTGGATGATTGTTGTATGAGTGCTTGACATCATTAATAAAACACCGCATGGTATACTGCCTAACATTCTCCCTTGCCCTTCCTCTGCCAACATGAAATCTAACTAATGTAGTTTCTGTTAGGCAATGTTTTCTTGGGATTGTGACTGTAAGGTTAAAGGTAAAAGTATATGTACATAGGAAAAAACACTGACTGTATATGTATTGTTCAGTAATTGATTTGGTCATTTTTTACAGCCCTCAACCTCCTTAAGATCATGCCACCAAAATTAGGCAAATAATCATAGCTTTTAATTGCTCAATTATTACTTAATAGCAGCACCAAAGAAAACATTTCTGTAGCTCTCTGGTATGTTTATCATGACACTTTTATGGAAATCCCTACAGACTTTCCCAAATGAATCAGAACAGATCATCAAGAGTGGTGACTGAATATTCCAGCTCAATCCCTCTATTAATATCACTAGATCGTAGCCACCCCCCTGTATTCTCAGAGGATGAAAAATAATAATAAAAAAAAACTGGAGAAAAATATGATCCTTGATCTGGGATTTCATTTTGTTCTAGTTAGAAGTTAACATACATATCTGGAACGTTTCCCTTATGTACAAGTATTTAAATTCTTGGATAACAGCCAGATGGATATAAGGTTCTTGAAGCAAAATCCCGGTTTATCATCTCATTCTTGACATGACTGATATTGGCTTTCTAAGCTAGGTAGGATGTGGCAGCTGACCTACATGTCCATCTGTTAAACTTTGCTAGAATCTAGATTTACATAATTTAATGATTCTGGCCTCAATCCCTACTGCACTATTAGTTAAAATGTTGCTTGAGATCCTCATGGGATTTTAACAATCCTCTTCTATGTCTTTCTTTTTCTGTGATCTTTTTTACTTCTTCTAAGTCTTTTCAAAGTCATGTGGGAAGAAATTCATTGGGATTAAAGACTGCCAATTCTTGCTCTGTGGCAGGAAAATGCACTGAAAGGATAGAGAATTAGGCAATGTGCTGAACGCTTGTGGGTTTTTACTCTCTTAGACATCTATAAGACACTGAAACCATAAAGTGCCATATATATATATATTTAATTATATATATATATGTTTTCTTAAGTTTTCGTGGGTACTTACATGTATGGTATTCAGCTTTGTTCGGGTATTTTCCCACGTCATTATAGTTGTGCTTTTAAAGTTGTAGCAAC